AAAAAATTAAAATAAAAAAAATTGAAAACTTTACCAGCCTGTTTATAAGTATTAAATAGATTTTACCTTCATGTACTCCTAAAACTCACTTAGTCAAATGACACTTTCTTTTTGGTTCGTTACTCTCGTCCAGTCGCGGTAAAAATTTTTCAATTGACGGTCTAAACTTAAGAAATAATTTTGAAATTTTCAAATTTCTAAGGTGTCTACACTACTAAAATAAAAACACCTTCCTTCTTACTGACAAACGTTTATAAATCTGCTTTTTATTGGTTTATTGCTGGGTTTATTGAGGGTAAAGGGCCTTCCGTTTTTGATAGGCCAGGAAAATCATGACCATTAATCGTATGCTGGACTATACTTATTTAAATTCATTTCGATTAGCTTGAAACTGCGGATGTGAAATTTTGACACGAATTAAATGCAATACTTTCAGACCTATCCAAGTGGCATACAATCCAAAGGGGATAGCATCTAAATAGAATTGCATTCTTATGTGATAAGCACGAATAGTTCGACCAAAACTCAGGCCACTAATCCAATAGAGGGCGCGAAACCGTAATAATTGTTATAGCGGGTTTGGATTTTGTCTATTCAGGCGGATGAGATACGAGTTTCCAATAGAATTTGGAAGCACAGAATGCAATTGAACTAGATAGCAACAATAGAGCCCGGTAATGCAATTTCAGCGTAGAATTATTGAAACGGCTTTAAGGCTTGAAAGTTTTGTTTCACTTCGAGTGAAATATGGGATAGCGATTTTAATTAATTCGATTTTGGCACCCACTTCAAGATGGCCGTTTGTTCTGAAAATTTCCTGCAAAAACCAGTAACCGATGAAAATTGCAACAGCTCGTTTTTTTCAGCAAATATTAATAAACATTTTTTAAGATTGTAACGTGGTGTTGGATTTAAATACTTTAAAGCTTCTTTGAATAATAGAACTGAGGTAGTAAGGCTCACGGATGGAAATATAGTTGTATCGGAGTCTAGGGCGGAACTGATTGGGGTTCCTCAATAAATGTTATTTGGTCCTCATTTTCTTATACTGTTTATGAATAATATTTTTCCAATTTTGGCTGGCAATTGCGTAACCCTCTTCAAATTGCAAGAACGAATCCATACAACAATGTTTTTTAAAACGAGTTATTTTTCTTGTCTCAATGAGTACTTTGACTGTGCTAATAGTTTATTATAATAATTTATATTTTTGTCTGTGCAGGTATGTTTTTGATTAAATTTAATTGTGACAATATCCGACACAAATCAATCAAATTTTAATTGGAAATAAAAATATTATTTTAAAGGATGGCCATGGAAACACCTGTATTTTATCGGAAATTATAGTGAATAAATATTTTGAAAAATTACTCACGAGTTTGGCAATATTCAGTGTCTGGATTAATAAGCTGGAAAGGATCTAGCGGAAGTTATTAAAACACCCTTCATTTTAATTCAGTTGCTATTTTCCACCACATTGGAGTCTGGGAGAATCGCCACTAGATTTTTATGTAGCCTCTTTTAACACAAGAAATAATTTGGCTTCCTCCAACAATGGTGGACCTAAGGCATCAATGTCACAGGTTCCAAAGAACTTCAAGTTGCTCAGCCAGGGTGCGAGGTGTGTAAGATCACTTTTAAGTTTTATCAAAAAGTATTTATTTATTTATAAAAATTAATGCTGTCCCTTTAAAGTAATCCCCCCAAATATAATTCACTTGTGCCCAAGTGCCAGATTTTTTCTCTCCTCAATCGTGCCAAACCTCCTTGCTTTCAAGGGTTGCTTCAGGTTTGGGAACAGGAAAATGTGGCGGTGAATATGTTGGCTGAGGCATGATTGTTGATTTGTTTTTGGCGAAAAAGTTAGACACAAGCAACGATGAATGAACAGGTGCATTATCGTGATGTAAAATCCATGAATTGTTTTCCCACAATGCCAGACGTTTTCTTAGTATTGCTTCCCGCAAACGGCGCATAGCTTCAAAGTAATAGTTTTTATTGGCCGTGCGACCTTGAGGTAAAAATCAAAGAAAACGGTAAGTAAAACCTTCACATTTGATCGGACTTGTCGTGCTTTTTTCGGTCTTGGCGATGCTGGGTTCTTCTATTGGGGCGGCTTGGTTTCGACGTTATAATCATATATTCATGATTCGTCAACAGTTATAACCTTTTTGAGCAAATCAAGATCATCATTGACGTCCTTTAACGCCTCTTGAGCGATGCTTCTTCAACGCACCTTTTGTTCAAAATTAAGCAGTTTTGGAACAAATTTTGCTGCTACACGTTTCATGCCCGAAACTTTTGAAAAAATTGCATGGCAAGAGCCAATAGAGATGCTGAATGTTTAACCACTTTGCTAATATGATTCGATGATTTTTCAACACTATTCGTTTCACTTCTTCAACGCTTTCATCAGACGTGCTGAGGCGTCCAGAGCGAGGTTCGTCATCGGCGTCCTCTCGGCCATCTTGGAACGGCTTGTACCAATTATAAACATTTTTTTTGCTTAAAATAGATTCACCATATCCATTTGTCAACATTTCAAGTATTTTGCAGCACTGTATTCCATTTCTTACACAAAATTTTATGCAAATCCTGTGTTCCATTTTTTTTAAGAGTAGAAAATTGCCGAGCACACAAAACAGGTCTAACACTTCTGTCTCACAAAAAAAAGTAAACATGCAAACTGACTGAAACTATGAACATATGTTAGGGACATGCGTATTAACATAACAAAAAGAAAATATCGAAGATCGAATATACGTAGCCAGCGCAATTACAAAAGATACTTTAATTTTTGGAACACACCACGTCTACATTGTATCGTTCTCTTTTATTGTTATTGTCATTTATCTTTTTACTATTTGCTTGTTCTTATGTATTACATAATATCCATAAATGCTTGCAAAACTAATGGATTATGCTTTTGTCCCGTAATATGGCAGAGTCTGCCTGTTAGACAATAATTAATAGATCCTTATTATTATTATAGAACATTTTTCGTAGAATCAAGTGAGCCAACCAGGTTTCAATTCTTTTTCAGCAATCAGCAGACTAGGTTTTGTCTATATCTATATATAGATATCATGAGGAACAATTTCTACGGTACCAAAAAAGCGACAGTTATTATAAATACAATACTTTATTACAAAAAGAGCAGATTCCGAATATTTCAAATTTGTACATATAAATACCACAAGCAGCTTGCAAGTCAATGTATATAATAAGTGAAAACTGAAAAAATAACAAAACGTAACAAAAGAAACAGAAATAAAAACTGCCTTAACGGTACAGTAACTATAGCGCAGAGTGTATCAAAATTCAATCCGAAGATTTGAATCGCATAGTGATCATTCCAAAATAAGTCTGTTTTTTTAATATAAAAACCTTTTGTCGAAATCAGATAAAATGCTTTTAAATAATTAATAGAAATGGATTTTTCCTATAAAATTTTGCTCCCTATATCTCGAAAACGAATCAAGTTAGGACACTTGCTTATATATAGAAACAAACTTTACCTTTCTCTGAAATATGGCCATAATATCTTTGTACTGAATTCCAAAACACCCTGTATAATTTACTAATGTAGACCCTTACTTTACATGTTAACGCAGCTGTTATTTTCTCACAATTAAATTAAATTATTTGTTTGAAAATAACTCCAACAAACGAGGCGCAAACTTATTTATTAAAACCACCTTATCTATTTGTTCATATTTAGTATTCTAAGACATCCACATTTTTTCATGCCGAGTGATATTGAACATACTTTATTGTTAGCAGCGTATTGGGTGTTCGAAAACACACAAAATAATCACTAATAAACCACCGTCTCTTTCTCTTTACCATTTGGAGTCACTGTCGTAACATTGCTGGTTACGTTGCTGTTGTTATCTTCGTCGTCCGTTTCTTCTGCGGCAGTGAGCTTCTTTGCCGCTGCTTCCTCGGCCCTCCTGAAAATAAAAACCGATTAAGTTCCCGCTGATTACTGTATTATAACCACTTCTCTCACCTTCTTTGTTCTGCGAAATTTTGTTCTTGCAACTCTTCCTCTTCTTTCTCTTTCTGTTTCTTTTGGAAGAAACGGTAGGCAAGATAGACAAAAAGTAATACAAGAGGAACCATAACCAGCAAAACGATGCCGGATGATATGGCCGCTTGTCGCTGAGCATACTCCTGTTGACCTAAAATGGATGGACATTTTTTAATGGTGACCTTAATGACCGACCAAAAAATATCTTTAAATGCAATTATTCCTACTAAATGATCAACGTGTCTGTCGATTGAATTATTTTTATACAAACTTTCAGGAAGGATCCATCACAGCCGTCAAGTATGGGTTTATGTTTACAGTCTACCCATTGTCCGCAACTTGACAGTTTTGGTGGTAAATGTTTCAAAGTTGTATTTGAAAAATTACCACTTACGTTACCGTTAAAATAGCAAGACACAGGTTAATTTTTAAATTACGGGATAACATATCCGAAACAGTTATTTAAAATAATATTGATATTTATATACAAATTTTTATTTGTGAGCAAAATTCGCATTTAATTTATGTATGTCCCTAACATGAAGAATATGTGCACCTAATATATGTCTCTTTATTCTTTTGCAGAGTTATAACTTTTTAGTACATATTTGTAAAAAGTTTGCATTAAATTAAATAAAATTCTCTTTCATTTTTAGGTATAAGTCGTCATGAGCAGCTGTTAGCGAGTTACTTATACTTAAAATAGTAAATATCTATGTCTATTTCATTTTATCTAATTTTTTTACTATATTTGATTTTATTTTAACAGTGTCCAATTAATAAACCCAATAACTGAAATGCCGCAGCATGCTTTTAATAATCAAAATACATAAAATAAAATAAATAATTATAATAGAATTTTTACTCCTCTGTACACACTCAAAAGTCGTTTGCTTGACTTTTGATTTAAAAAAGACAATAAAAAATAATTAATTTACCTCTTCGATGTGTAATTAACTATATTTGGTTTAAAACGTTTTGAGCATTGAGCAAATCAGAGTAATATTGGGGAATATTTTTGTCGCTCTCCTTTTCGTTTATTAATTGCCACGTTGTCAAGCGAAATAAAATTTGCCATTTTTTGGTTTTTTATTTTCTTGATTGTTGTCTTTTCACGCATACATTGGGGCCAAGCTAATTTCAAAAGCTTAATCCCAAGTCCCGCTTCAGATGGAACGTGAGGCCGGGAAAAGGTCGTTCGAAATGAAACAAGCAGGTGTTCCACAACCTAGGAACGTACCATTCGAAAGAGAAACATGAAAGGGGGTGACATTCCTAGCATGTGGAACAGCGCCCGAACAACGATACATTCAAAGAATATTTATTGTCCAAAATATTCTTAACAATAAAATAAATATAGAAACATTTAAATAAAAAAAAGTAACCTACGTGGTCAATCTGAAGGTTTTATACAAAATGTCAAAAATGTGAAAAATTAGTCTATAAAGCGCGGGCTATATTCCACATGCTAGTTCCGTTAGACGTCGGTAATAATACTGCTCTGGCTACTTATTCGCTCTTTGGGGGGCGACTTTTTAAGCGGTACTGCGTAGTCATCCGAGCCGTAACTCAGCGGTTTGTTACGTTTGCTATCAGTGACAACGTCCGGTGCAAATGGTGTACTGTAAACCTGCGAATTGGTCGGACTATTTGCGGGTGAAGACTCAGTATCGTTAGGATCCCAGGCTTTATGTTCGAACTCGGTTTCCGGCAATCCTGCCAAAGGCTCGTGAGTCCTGTACACTTTCTCATAACTTCGCCTTTTCTTGAGGCTGTCACCGCTCCGATCACTAGCGGGGCTCAAAGTGACGTCGGTCCCGGTAGGGCTTAGTGAACGGTTAAAAGGCTTTTGAGCCGAATATTGCCAAGAGCTCTCTTCGGAGTTTATGTATTTCTGGTACACCCGGTAAGCAATGAAAATTATTATTAGGATTAGCGGTAGAATGATGGCCAAAACGATGCCCGAAGTAATAGCTGCTTGACGCGACGAATATTCTTGTTGCCCTGTTCGGATCAGAATAACGGCGATTAGTTGATAAGTATTGAAAGATGTGCAGGGAGGAAAAAATTGGACACTTTTAAAAGGATACTCCCGTCTCTAGAAGATATATATACACATTAATAAATGAAAAAAACTACCTTTCCTTGAAAATATTTTTATACACATATTGAGTCCAAATGAACAAAAATGTTCATTCTAAATGACTACTTTAGTGTTAGCTGACTAAAATATTATCCCTAATTGTACAATTCGTGACAAGCAATTAATACTGAACCGGAACAATGTCAGAAGAATGAAGTTCATAATTGACTGCCCAAGATATAATAGAAGTGGCGAATGGGGGAAGTCCGGACAACCTACCCAGGAATATTTTTATGATGAAGAGTTTTGCATACTCGAGTAGTAGGCTTCTTAGGCTTCACAAGAAGTTCCTAATGGAGTTATATCACCGCCATTTATTAGCTTTTGCGACATAATGAAATCCTGTTAAGATATTTTGCAATACAGATATCTGCAAGCCCTTTTATTAGACTTAAAAGTCTGAACTGGTTCGGTACGTGAATTTAAAAAGCATTGTGATTTATTTGAGGATGTTAACTCTGATCGAATATTTAAAACTTTTTATTTACATTCCTAAATTTTTTCAACGACCAAAACTACTTGAGAAAGTTACCCCTAAAAGAGTTTGACTTCTCTGAAGCTGATGAAATCAACTCAATGTTATTTATTATAGTATAGAGAAATAAGCCCAAAAAACATGAGATTAGTTATAAAATTCATCTGGTTGCGATTGTTAAACTGTAATTTATTTGTCTTTGATTGTCCATAATTTTCTTGCAAGGCATTTCGTCCGAAAATGTGACCGAGCCATATATACCAATATGCAATACAAATCATATTTTACACAGCCAATTATCACAAAAATTAGTAACAACTACATAACTTGGATGTTTTTAACGAATTAAAAAGTACTTACGTAAACAGTAAGTGTAACCGTAATCAGGAATGTTCCACTGTCCGTTAGCCTCGCAGGTCCTGCGCTGATCTCCGATCAAAACGAAGTCCTGGTTGCACTCGTATGTTACTCGAGTTCCCGGAATGAAGAGGAATGTGCTTTTACGACCGAAACGTGGGGTTTCGAGTACGCCACATGATACAACCTATAGAAAATGTTCTTTGAGTTTAACAACATTTCAATACACTATTATCTGAGTTTTCATTTGTAATTAGTAATAACAATGTGCCCGATTGAATTTTCGTGTTCGTCTCCCGTAGGAACCAGGGACATTCGTGTCTTAAATTTTTATTGGGACATTTATCGGCGTTGGACACCAACACTACCATGATTAGTTCGGTCGGTTAATAGCAATTTTGTCGTCAACGTCAATACCCCTCAAAAAAGTTGGCGTGCCGTCTAGTACTTCAATGACTAGATTTTAAAATGAAAAGGGGTGAAAAGCAAAAGTTTGCACTTTCCGTTTTTGAAGTAAATGTTACAAACAACGTAGATTCCTTATAAAGGAAGTTTTTGTTTAAAAAAAAAAACATCTAAGTTCACAAAACAGATTTTGCTTAGTATCAACCAGTCATTAAGTACTATGTATTAGTTTATACATACACTACAGGGTTTATTTATAGGGAGTAAAAGGTTGTCAAAGGTAAAAAAAATATTTTTTCTTAATAATTTGCAAACCACTTGAATAATTTTGACTGATTGATTTTGGTAAATCAACAGTCACTGGGTGGCATTATTTGATACGTGCGTTGGAGAAATTGATTTTTACTTATCTACAATTCTGGTATGCCACTGGTTAAATATTAGCACGTTGAAATAACGTTGAAGTAAGACTAACCAAAAAAAGCGTTTCTTTTTCCTTACAGAAAATAGAATCATTGATTTGAAAAATATAGCAGAGTATCATAATTACTTTGATCCTATTCCACAAATATTCTTGGAAAAATTATATTGAAAATGAAAGCCACCAAAATTTTTAGAAAAAAAAAGAGTTTTAATAGACTAATTTTTATTCAGTTTTTATTCAGAAATTCGAGAATTAGAAAATATTCCTCTTTAATTTTCATACAGACCAATCGAAGCTAAGGAAATCATTTTACGTTACCGAAAATGCAAAATTGCACTATAATACCAATAAGAAATAGTGTTTTCTTTTCTGGCAAAAGCTTTATTTTTCTAAATTATTAAGGGTATAGGTAATTAGTTTAACGATGGTGCAGTTTTTTGTCGAAGCGATGAAAATATCTTCTAAGTCTCATTGCATTAGTAAATTTGGTACAAAGGTTTGTAAATAAAGTTCAATTTACACATTAAAAATTTTAAAATGCCTAAAAAGCAATTTAGAAATTCCAAAATATTTTTGACGAAAAGGAATTTTTGAAATATTGGAAAAATAATCCGAGACTCCACCAGTCTGTCATTAAAGGCGTTTTAGAAATCGAGCACTTAATGGTTATAGGGCTGCAGTTACTTTTTTATAATTTTGATCTCAGTCATATGCGGACGATGCCCAAGTTATTTACATTTTTTAACCGTTTCATTATAATGAGGTCGAAACGGATATTAATTTTGATCTGTTTTATGCGGCCAAAACTCAAGTACAGCTCTTTGCTCCCGACTCTGCAATACACTTTCTCAAAAGATACTTGCATCTTGAGATAAATGGGGAACCCTCATTGTTTGCTACCGGGGCCAGAAATTTCATAATTTAAGAAAAAAGCTCTCTGAGTCATATATTATATTCATATTGCCACGTATTGTTTTACCAATGTTTAATACTACTTGATCGTCAACGCCTTCAAAAAATGCAAAGCAACTCTTGTAGGTTTGTGTATTATGGAAATATGACCACGTACCCTAAAGGTATCATAAGGTAAATATCAAGATGAATACTTTAAGTATGCCACAACACAGAACTGCTTTTTACGAGCGGCGGTTTAAAAATATTGTGGTAATAGTATATTATGCAACAAGCGCGGTAAACGGCATTTGACTCACGAGTTTTTAATAAACGAGTGAGTTAAAAAGTTTACCGAACGTGTTGCATACTACACTTTTTCTACAACCTTTAGTTTTTGGATAAATGTTCGCAATACAACACAAATACGTTCACTGACATGACCGTCAGAATTGACAAACGTCAAACATCCGATTCGTCACAAGTCCGTGCGGTATAATCCCGGAAATGTCCGAAGTGACTCGGATTCGTGGGAAACGAAACTGACGTGGTAAAGTGACGCTTCCCACACGCTAGATCGGCGTGTAATTAGGTATTTTACAGACGGGAGTAGAAAAATATAATGTCATTATGAAGATTATGCAAACCTAAAGCTGAAGGATGCAAATTAATAGCAAAATTCCTGCGACTTACCCGAGTCCTTGTTGTCTCTTTCAGAGCGTAGATGGTAGCTTTATAGTTCTGAGTGAAGTGAGCCAGGTCTCTATTTAGCGTCATAGCGTAATCGTAATAGCACTCGTACGTTTTGGTTGAACATATATCATAAGTCCGCGCTATTTGCTCGGACCTGTTCTGGGGTATTATTTCCTCCGGAGTCATGTAGAAGATCGGCAGGAACGACCTGTTGTTGTAATTGGCGGATGTCAGGCCGTTTTCTCGGGTAAACAGTGATCGACCTAAAGAGAAAGTCGTCCCGTCATATATACAAGGCGCCCAAAACGAGTAAAAAATATATAATTTTTTATAAAACAACGAAATACAGTTACGCATGTCAAAAATTATCAATTAATTAAAAAACATTTTCCAGTTTCGCATTTTTTTAGTTCTTAAATTTCTAGCTAGGATGAAACGGCTTCAAACAATCTCGATATAGTAGAATGTTTGCAAGAACCATTTAAGCAACTTTACTAACTAAAAAAACTTGACCTTCTTTCCTAAGTATCTTCGCTGCTGTTTCAAAATGGACTCACTTTAAAAAATATTGCAATTCCAATTTTAATGCATTCTGACCCCGAATAAAATTTATGCGAAACATAGCCAACATTAATAGATAGATGGAATAGATAGTTTTATCTCGAAAATGATTAGTTTCTCGAAAAAAATTGAAAAGCAAACAACAATCTTAATTGAATGAGCCATCCAATTTGGTAACTGGAGAATGTCAGTAGCGTACTACGGAAAAGTTTGCTGCCTAAAACGTATCACCCTGTAGCTCTGCTACTAAGTGCCAGATAACTTTTTAACCTTGGGCCGTATATTTCTTTTGAAAGCGGTACTAAATTTAACACAAAATGTTATCAAATAGAAAAGATCGAGAAAATGATTCTTTAAAAACGAAAAGTATCAGGCAAATTCCTTTTATGGCATTTTTCGTTTCACAATTAGGTAGCGGCTTTTAAAGATAAGCGAGATAACCCACAAAAAATTCTAGAATAAGACAGTCTGTGTGATATGATTCTGAAGAACCCAAACAGTTAAACTAACTTGCCTTTGTCATTATCAAGAACATCATCCACCATCCATTTCGATCCAAAATCTGTATAAACTCGCTGCATATCGTTTATGTTACTAACAACGCTCACGACGCTGGAGTCTGGCAGTGTGAAATCGTCTTCTTTATTGAAACTCCAGTTACCGAACAGTCCAACTGTTTTATTCTAGAATGAACCAAATTAGTTGAATATCTGGGCCAAAAGTTATTTGTTGTTTTCAAGTTGATTAGTTTTATCATAAGTAAGTTAGAAATATATTCACCTAATTCCCTAAAAAGTGAAGACATTTATCAGACTAAAAATGTTATTTTTTATTAGGAATATACAAACATGTGAACCGAAATAAGTTACCTAACCAAAACTAGTTTTAATAAAAAATAATAAAATATGTACATAGATAATATGAAAAAAACACTTTAAATCTAATTTCAATTATCCAGTTGGAACAACAACAAAATAAAGAAGTAAAATAAATATCAACATTTCATAATTTTTTTATACTAATTAATGAAAAGCAAACTAATACCAGTTTTGCTAACAAAATTTCACAAATTGTAACTGAACCTCTTACAGTTAAATTTGGGTTAGTTTTAGCGACTTCAAAAAAGTCACTAGTCGAAAAATGGTTAGTACCAAATCATTTTTAAGTCCTGCAAAGTAAATTAGCATTACTAGAATTACCTTCGCTTGAATAAATTTAAGAAGTACGCTGGCCAATTTAGCGGAGCCTTATTCGTTATTTAAGCCAGCATGTTTTAAACCTTAAAACCTAAACCTTAAAAATCTATTAAAATATTGTAAAAATTCAAAATGATAATATTGGTTACCAAACAAATGTATAACGAAACCGGCTTTGCTTTAGGTTTGGCATTTACCTTATGCATAATTGAAACTAAATATCAAGCAATAAGAGCATTAAATTTATAATATTTCATCATTGGCCTAACTCATAATTGTATTATTTAGAGTCCTTTCGTAGAAAGTGAAATCACGGTAAAATAATGTACACAATTAATTAAAATGTCAGTAAACTTTATTCAACAAAGCAATTCCTTCTATGCTAATATTTTGAGGCAACTTTTATTTTGATTTATAAAATTGAGTTTGTACTCACAATGAAAGACCAAGGAAGGTATACCCTCGCCGTTAGGAACCCTTGGTTATCTAGTACTTCGACTCCTGCTCCGTTATCGAACATAATTATGACCTCAGACTGATTCAGTATGTAAGTTGGTGTATAAACAGTTACCCCTAAAATAAATAAAAAGGTCACCCAAACATCCCTGAAACGAAATATTTCTTACTACTAAATTCTCTACGCACCTGGGAAATGTTGAAACTTTAACGATGGTCTATCAAAATATATCCTCTGACCATCAGCCAGGACGTCTAACCTATACCGCCACCTCGCGTATTCTGGTCTCCTTCTAACTTCTATAACCGTGGAGGAGTTACCTCGCGCCACCACCGACGACAACTGTGTGGCCCGCACTTCGCCGTAGAGGTTGGGATCCATTTGCTCGAAACGACCTTGGACCTCTATATTGTCCAGCCTGACTCTAGATTTGACCAAGACGAACTCTCCGAGGCCGTTGAAGGTGTAGTCAACGTCGTCGAATGTAACAATGTGAGGGTCTCCATAAACTCCGGCGACACCTAAAAGGCGGTCGTAGTAAATTACGACTCTGATCGCCAAAAACAATCCTATTCGAAGTTACCTGGTGCTTGATACGCAACACAGTCCTGCGTAGGCCTTCTCTCGAACCTTAAGGTTTCGCAACCGACAGCCTGTTCCTCTTGCCATAAGCAACAGAAATACTTGGGTACCATATCGTTAAACCATTGTGAGAGCGTGGGCACTTTCGTGGCCTCGTTGTATGGCATTTTTCCCAAATTGTGGCAGCGTCTTGGGCTCGAACCCCACTGCTGGTCATACGACAACATCAGGTAGTGGTTTCGATCGTAGCAACACTGTTGCTCTGAACCCTCCAAACTATAAATACACATACAAAATTTGATTGTAAATTGCAAATTGCAAATTTAATTGACGTTCCTCTAAGAGTTAAAAGGTAGTTCGAATATACTGGAAACCCAGATAGAGCTGCGACTAAATTATTATTTTTAAGAAATTAAGTTTTCTAAATGATCATACAGGATAGCTTATTATTGAACAATTCTTTTATATCTCCAAAATAATTTATTTTATTCATAAATCTATAGAGGGTACTTAACTATCTCACAGTACCCTAACTTATATTACTTCATTTTTGGGTTTCTGGGCAAATATTATAGAGTTTTTTCAAGTCTGCCTATACTTAATCCCCATAGTTTCTTGGATAACTTAATTATTTTAAAAATTTTGAAATACGCAACATTATTTTGAATAATGAGCCTTTTAATCAATTTTGATTTGTGGTAGTCGTCTGGATTGGAATTGGAAATGATTATTGAAATCGATTCTATCGCAGTTAGAGAGGCCTTAATTTTTTTCATGTAAATAAAACCAAAAACATGTCAAACTTGTTCATAATCAGTGGTAACGAGAAAGAAGTTTGATCTATTTAATTTGAAGAGGTTTGACTGACTTCTGCTTTTTCTGGTGTTTTCGTTGACTACAGAGACCACTAGTCAAAAATGGTTAAAAGCAGCAATGTTCAAAATAATCTTCAAATTTTTTAAAGGTTTCTTAGTTTGAAGTTAGGAGGTGTGAGATACTTATAAGGTACCCTATATAACCACAACTATTTTCAGTACATGCTGAACATCCAAAATTTTTGTAATTAAATTTTTTTAATAAAATATACTCGTTATTTTGCTTTCGTTTAATTTAAATTTGTGACTTTGTCAATAATGAATAATGTCTTGTAGAGAGAGAAATTTCAGATTTTACCATGCTCTAATAGACCAACTTCATGTTTAGAGCATATTGAAAAACTTTGTAATTTCATAGAATGAATAACTTGAATTATATATGGTGGCCTATGTATTACGTATGACAAATTTTAAGACAAAAGTTGTTTTTATTTACTTTCTGCCATGTTTTCAGTTATTTTCTGGGACCATTAAGCATTTTTCATTTCATTTTTTTCATTTACATTCTCAACGTTATATTTTTAGCAGTTTTTGATCACTCTATGTTAATTTTTAAAATTTTAATACAGACCACTAACATGTAGTGCTTTCATCAGTGGCGGAAATTGATAGATAAATTTATATTTGCAAACGTCACTTTTGAAATAAAATTCAAAATATATCAGAGACGGTAATGCCTGAATAGTGTTCAAAAAATATAAAATGATATTTTAGAGCGCGATTCATTGCTAAAAGTTTTCAAGATACAGGACATTAAATTGAAAAAAAAAACATATGAATATCTAAACAAAAATTCGATTCTGTTAAAATATTTGAATGTTAATGTTGTAATAGATTAAAATTATTTAGTCCAGCGGCGTCCATAACATAAAGCGCACTACAACAAATGTTTCCGTATACTTTCATTAGGGCTAAATTAGCCTCTTAATACACCAAATAACATATTTCAACAGAATCGAATGAATATTTTTTTATATATTATTTAAAAAAAAATTTTTTTCAATGTAAAACCCTTGAAAACTGCATTTCCGTACCCATGTTTATAAAAACTTTTTTCATATTTTTTAATAAGCAATTACCGGCTAAAATGTCTCCTTCTAAAATAAGAAAGTTATTACCTACTGACTAAAGTACAACTATACAACCGTATAAGAACAATATTTTAAAAGTATCGGTATCTATATAGATACTAATGATATAAAGGCCCTGCCTATGGCGATAATACCAGAACTTATAAAGCAACTATGAAAAATTTTTTGAAAAGGACCATTCAATATGATTTAAAATCTCATTTTGGACCAATGAAATTTGCATCATTAACTTTGGATTTGCGACAATATTTTCTCAAAATATGTCTAGATCTCGTTACACGTTCAAAAACAAGTTAAATGTTTTTAAAAAGAAAATGGCGCAAACTGCAAGTTAGTGGGGGAAATGTACGTGCGGTGCATCACTTTTTACAGTAGTAGGGCAACCATATTATCTAATAACTGTATGGTCAATCCAAACAACTTTTGTCTCCTTTGATCTTTGTAATTTTTGGCAAACGGGCAACGAGTTCTTACGTTGGTGATCCAGTTTTAACGCAATGAACGGCCTGATTGTTGTAATAGCAAGTCGGATTGGAATCTTTATCGCAGTCAAAATCGGGCATGTATTTTCCTTTATCAGCGAGCGCGTGTTCTAGGGTGCATGGACACTGAGGCAATTCGTGGGCAAAGTTTTTGAGATACCGATCGCTTCGCAGCCAGTCGTCGCAAAGGAACTGAGGCCAATTTCTCCCGTACATTCGTTCCCATTGGTAACTAAAGTACCAACCCAACGGCACAGGTCTGGAAAACGAAAAATTACTTTTACACTCGCTCAATTACACTTTCGAAAATGGCGCACCTACTCCACACTACCGGATTAATCTCGACCGTAGTGGTAGCAGTGGTGGTACTATCGGCATAGTCGGAAATAAGCGGAATCGATTCCGTCAAGTTGATTTGCAAGAATCCGAATTTCAAGTCCGTCAGGAAAGTGTTGTCTCTGTCCCGGAACTGCGAGGGTACGATGGTGTATTCCCCTGTATTTTGGACGTTCGTAGCGATGTCGCCGATATACAGTAACGAGGGATGAATGGTCGTTTCTCTGTAACCCCACAACGAGATCCTGATGTTCGCGTTCTCGTTGGTTGTCAGGTTGTACTTCTCCCAGGTAATTTTTATCTCGGCCGGCGATTTCTCGTGAATTCTTTGATCCTTGAAGTAGATCTTTTGGGCCGCGGTCGCCGGTGTTTCTAAAATGTACGTTCTGTGAATATGGAAAATCAAAAAAAAAAAAGAAACGCTTCAAAAAATATACCTAGTTATTGTGTTTTGCTTTCGTATACGTTTTCGTTGCAACTAAAAAGAAACTAACTAAAAAAAATAATTATCTTATAAAATATTAACCATTTTTAGCTTAGCAATATCCCAATTTATAAGAAAATTCTTGTCGAAATTTGGTCAGTGTTTCAGCAGTAATATTGCTAACAGCATTTGTAATTTTATTACGAAGTCCCTCTAAATAATTTGCACGATCGTGTGCGTGCTTGTAAATAGTGCTAGTGACGTAAGCCAAAAGAAAAAAAACATTTGGTGCTAGATCTGGGGATCTAGCGGGCCATTTGTTTATTCAGAAAATCCCGAACTCTCCTAATATTATGTGTGGGACAATCACCTTAAGGATAACAAATTTTATGAACAGAAATATTAAGAGCCTGAATAGCTGGAATTATTTGATCAATTAAAAAAAATGACCACTGATATGGTTTCTTAAAATACCAAACCATACGTTCTCCTTTTCCGGATACTAAGTCCTTAAAGGAATGGGGATGTTTTTGTACTCTTGTGAATACCCACCAGCCACTGCCGGATTGTGACCACCATGTAACGAAAATGAAGATTCATCGGTGAATAAAATATTCTTCATTCCGATTAGTTCGTTCAATCATTACTTTAAAGAATACCATGCATTTCTGATGATCTGCTGGTAAAATTTCCTTCATGGTCTATAATTTATAACACTTGTACCCATTTCTATTTAAAATATTCTGCACTGTTCGTGGTTCTATCTCAAGTTCCCGGTAAATTTGAATAATATTGCACGGAAAGTTTACATTTGTTACATTAAAAAAAACGAGACGCCTTCTATTTTTCCTTTCCCTGCCGCAGGGAGATTGGAGGGGACCCAAACAGGTTTTTATTTAATCTCGCGTCCATTTCTTGTCTCTCTCTAACATTCCAAGAGTCTCTGTGTAACTCTGTCACACTTACAATAACGCTTATATATATATATATATATATATATATATATATATATATATATATATATATATATATATATATATATATATATAGTTAATTTTCTGGTTTTTCTCTATAACTTTTATATGATTTATATATATTATATACATTTATTTACATTGATCGATATAGATATATATATATATATATATATATATATATATATATATATATATATATATATATATATATATATATATATATATATGACATGGTTAAGTGGGATATTGAAGATCGATTAATGTAAATAAATGTATATCATATAAATCATATATGTAAATCATAGAAAAGTTATAGAGAAAAAACAGAAAGTTAACTCCAATCTTGTGTTTGCGAAGGACATTCATACCTATGCCGGACGACAGTGCAATATTTATGTCAATGTTAGAACTATAAAGATCTCTGTAATCCAGAATTTTCTTAGTTTATAAGTTACGGGTATTGTCGAAAATCGTTCTAACATTGCTAACATCATTGTAATTGCCTACTATGCCCGTGTCATATAAACGCTTGCGATAAAGGTTGAGCTATTGTAATCAATTTCTAGCGGTGTAAGTAACGTATATTACTAAATTACTTTTTTACCAGTCGTATATTCCCTTTTGCCTTCGCCAAATATTTAGATTCCGCCAAGATCTAGAATGTTCCCAAGGCCTAAATGCTCTGTTTAATTAATAATAATAATGTTGTTTAATAATAAGTTAAAAAATCGAAAAAATAAATAATTAAAGAAAGACACTAGGGAGCAACATCGAAAATAATTTTAAACGAAACAGAATCTTTTGATTAAATTGCAGCGTAAATTAATTGTTATTAAAGTTTTAGGCCTAATCATTCTTTCCTAAGAATTCCAAATAAAAAAGGATGTTACCTGGAATATTGAATTTACTTACGTATTGAATTTGAATTTGAATTGAATAAATTAAATTTACTTACGGAATAGATCTACCAAAAACTCGATATAGCCAACCAAAAAAATAAGCTTGCCTTAGTTAAGTAGTCAGATACGGACAAGAAACTGAACAATTTCAGTAATACCTAATCACTGAGTGTGAAAACTATGTATGATGAAAAGTTAGCCAAGTACATTTTTCTTAGTTCTTGCAACTTCGAACATAAACCTGTAGAAGTCTAATAGAAGATGCAATAGTGTTCAACTTGTCAAGCCAATTTAGTACATCATCGTAGTAAAACAGTTCAGAGAGAATCAAAATAAATAACTAACTAAAAGTTCAGATTTTCACGAAATTATATATTTTTACATGACAGTTGTTTCAACAACACCGTGTCTTTATTAAATATCACACAAAATCACATTTGATAAAGACACGTTGTTGTCGAAATAATTGTCATGTAAAAATATATAATTTCGTGAAAATTTGAACTTAATTATTATTTATTTTGATAAATGGATTTTGTTCAAGTAAAAGCCACCTTAGTTCAATTTCAGAGAGAATCAAAAAGGAGCATAGAAGGCGTTCGATTCAATACAACAAAAATATTAAAAAATGTGTTAGAATTTGCAGATAGATATATAGAAACATAAAAAAATTAACCAATCGTAACGAGAATCTTTTTACAATTTAAATCTACGTGTCGGAAAAATTGCTAAGTTATTTGGAATGTCAACAAGGCTTATTCAGTTTTCGAAATATCTTAAATAACTAATACTAAACTTGTTTTATTATTAGTTTACTACCGAGGGACACACATATAGAGTTCTGAGACGACATGTGATCTTTGAAAGTTCGGAATTATTAGAATTGCTAAACTAAAAACAAAAACGAAAAATAAAAATTGGCTGCTTGGGGCGGCTGCTAACTGGCGTTATGAGCCTTGATGTCATGACCAATGAGAGAGTGTTAAGCGAATTTGAACCGATAAGCACGTGTCTTTCAAATGATAATGTGACAAATACTTTTTTATTTAAAAATGTAGTTTTTTTTTTAATCGTATTAATGTGTGTATACAGTGGGTCGTTTATCTTGGGAAACTACCTTATGTCAGAAACTCTAGGGGATGGAGCCAAAAGTTAAATACAAAAGTTAATTGAAGTATTACAAACCTTCAATTTATTTTAATGTTGTATAAACAGGGTGTTTCATTTTTCGTGGGCGGGTATCAACTTTCTTATTTTCCATGGAACGCCTGGTGCATTACTTCATTTTTGAATTTTATGCGTAATTCTAGACACATTTTGTGTATAATACCTAAGTCTAACCGTTTATGACATTTTAAATTTTTTATGCGAAAAATGACGTTTGGAATACTTAAAATATCTATCAATTTCTTCATTTGGAAGCATTTATTGTTTCACTTGAGTAAATTTTGTTGTAGACAAAAGACTCGAATAACGGATTAAAAATGAATTTAAAAAAATTGTCAAAAAACCTTTTTTTTTAATGGAAGCTGCCCATTTTTATAATCTTGTCATATTTAGCATCAAAAATTAAGGCAATTTTATATAAAGTTGAATATGCTTAATATTTTTACTTTTTTAAATATTTCGTTTCAAACATTTGTCACAAATAAATAATATGCTGTTGCCATATAAGTTCAGTTAGTGTAAGATGGCTATGACGGTGTTTAAACAAAACAATTGCTAGAATGCTGTTTGCGTATTATATTTACCACAGAGGGAAAGATTGATATGATAAAAAGTTACATATCGTACAATCAAAACCGTACACGCTCTTAGAGTTTATATTAGAAAATTTCTATTAAGAAGGCGCCCAGAAAAAAAAATTTCCACAGGATTTACCAATACTTTAGAATATATGGAACTTTGAATAAAGAAAACAATGGACGTCGTCATATTTTAATATGACTTTAACTTTAATATGCCTTTCACTTAATATTTTGTTGCATTTTGAAGAGACCCGTGATTATTTATCCCCAATCTGTTAGAAATGCCATTATATATTTAAAAACCCTTTATACTGCTTGTATTGCTCAAAGAGCCGGACATATTGAACAACTCTTACAAAAAATTATTATCCTTTGTAAGTTATTAATTCTTTATTGATCGTTCATTAACAAAAAAATTCACCAACGTTATCGCTTATCCTTGGTCTTATTTTGTATGAATAACGCATACAAAATCTTTGTATCTTCATAAGCGCATCGGCAAGATTATGGTCAACTATGAAATGGTATATCGTAGTGCACTTTAGAACTTGACTTGGACTGCAACTGCATATAATTTGTGATAGACAAACGTTTAAAAGGAAATATTTCAAATAAAACAACAAATGCTTCCGAATGAAAAGACTGGCTGGTATTTTAAGTATTGCAAACGTCATTTTTCGCATAAAAAATTAAAAATGTCAGAAACGGTTAGACTTAGGTATGCTCAAACTATGTCTAGAATTACGCATACAATTTAAAAATGAAGTAATATACCAGGCGTTTCGTTTAAAATAACAAAGTCGAGACTCGTCCATGAATAATGAAACAACCTGTATATACAAAATTAAAATAAATTCAAGGTTTGTAATACCCCAATTATCTTTTGTGTTTAACTTTTGGCTAAAAGATACATTGTTACGATGGAACTATCTGCGCTATAACTTGGTAAAAGTCGATCGAACTTATTGATCTACCTTGGTATTTTAACAGATAGGGATTTATTTTGCACAACCCAATATAGTTATATCTAACTGGATATAACTGGATACCTTAATCAATAGAATCAATACTCACCAACGAAATATCGTCCTTTCCATTTATACAGTCCCGGCCCGATAGCGATCTCAAACCGTACGTATCCCTGAACCGTTAGTGGGGGTTGGATACAGATCGCTCGATTCCTGCTAACCACTACGCCGTATACGACATCAGCGACGTCAAACTTGCAAAGAACCTGATCGGTTGGATTAAAACACGGCCCCGTAATGTTGACCACTGTGCCGCCCAACATGTTACCGCTCTCCGGAGCGAACATCAGCGGCAAATTAGCGCCGTCTATGTCCTTATTGCAAGTGCCCACCAAGATTTTCTCGTCGATCCTGAATATGTGTCTTCCAGGCAATCCGTTGGCGAAACCTGTAGCGCTCAAATCTCTGATAACCATCTCTTGACTGTAGGGCTTGTATTCGTAGCTCCTGGTGCCGTTGCCGGCGTTGAAACCCACAAAAGCGGTCGTTCCACCCTCCCCGCCGATGGTATCTCCACCGGCTTCCGTATGACTGGTCCAGTCTAGATTGAGGTAGTTAAATATGGCATAAGTATAGACTTCGTCCGTCGCCAAGACCATTTGGAACGTGTTCGTCTTGTAGACGGCGTTGGCCCAACCGCCGTTGAAGGAAACGTTTTTCCACGTTACAATGACAGCGTGTTTCGGGCGAAAAGTTTCTGATCCGATAACCCCTTGCCTGATATCCCACGTGAGCCTTTCGCGAATCTCGACCCCCATTTGGTCTTGCCTGTTCCTCAGGTCCCTTTCCATTCTATAGTACACGCCCGGTTTCCTCTGGTCGATGTCTCCGTCTCTCAAATTTCCTAAAACGAAAATAAGTTGAATTATTTTACACTTAAGGCCATATGTAAGTTTAGAATAACCCAAAAAATAAGTATTTTAAGAAAACAGTTCGGGAACAAAATTAAAACTAGTTTTAGCAAGATAATAATGACAATATGAAATTTAACTGTAATAATTATGTCGCAACTCTTTTCCAAAAAAAACTTCTAGGTACCTATTTATTATTTATAACCATTGTATTGGAAAAACAACAATGTAGGTGTCGCTTGCCAGTTTCTTCATCAATTTAGTACCTATTTAGTACAGGTACTTTGGGTTAATTTTACCGCGGACAAGTGTACGATATTTAAGGCATTCCATGTTTCTGTCACCCAACTACCAGACATTGCCAAAGTAAATCAAATTTGTAAAAAAAAATCTATTCAAAATATTTAAAATTAGTTTTCAGGAAATCAATTCACGACATGAATCTGAGACACCGAGCAACGCTCACTCTATTGTTCTATAGAAGTACTATATTTCATAGTTCTTTTACATACAATGCGGTAATTTTGTTCAACTCTTTAGATCACGTTCTTAAATCAAAGTTTCTTGGTCCGTGCAAAGCTTTTAGCTTCTTTTTAAAAAAGAATTTACTTCTTCCCTAGCGAAATAACTAAATTGCAAAAATTAAGTGTAAATTTATATGTTATAAGGTTCTTCTTTGATGTGTATTATCAAGTAAATATTTTATTGTGTATGTGTAGATTTCATTTAGATATAAGTTAAGTGTGGGTGGCTTAAGGCCTGACTTCGCCCATGTAACCTTAATAAAGTCTATTATTATTATTATTATTAAAAAATAGAATAGCATACCTAATAAAATATGTTTGATTAATTTGTTAAAATGTTGTTATTCAAATATAAATTGAAATTTTTCCGATAGAGATAAGTTAGAAACAAATTTTAATTGTGGGTTTAATAGCTCATTTTCAAATAATTTTCAATACCATTTCCGATTTGTCTGTTTTCTCAAGTTTGATTTAATATTTTTTTATTTCCACTACTGCTTGACTTGGAAATAATTCATTAAACCCAAGAGAAACCGTAAAATAATTTACGCTCCTGTCATTCTCAGGTCAGTTTTATACTGGGTCAAACAAAATATTATTTTCTAACGGGGACGCCCTTGCGCAGTGTCAAAGCCAATTTACCGGCTGGAATTTAGACCATGGATTAAAATGTAAACTTATTTTTTGAATTAAATTGCTGATATATTTGTCTACGGTTCCCATTCTTTTTGAGACACATAAAGTTTTTTTATTTTAAATTAGGTTTAAAAAACATAACATTGTTGAAATGTGTTGGCCTCATTTATGGTGTTAATTTAGCGCTCAAAAAATTAAAATCTAAAAAGTCCAGTGGCGTAACCAAAAATATGAGCCACTAACTAACTTCTAGTATATTACGCGCATACTCTTAATCCAAAATTAAGGCAATAAAAAAGACTGAAAATGACTGTTGAACTTGCCTATTCTGCACTTGCTAAAAAATATCCCAATAAAAGACGGATCGTTTTTCTTGGGCCATTCGCGAATGGGAAAATTCAATGGATAATCATAATTGGGTGGAGGGTCGCTAAATTCCAAATAACCATTGAGCGATACTCGGGTATAGTTGAACCTGAATCCGAAGAACGGCAGTTGAAAATTAAAATTTTTGTGGACCTGAAAAGAAATAAAATTAAAAATTTCGTATTGCGTTTTTTATAGCCCCTATACAATAATACGAAATAATAACAAAAAATTAATACCTTAATATGAAAAAGCAGTTGAAATTTTCGTCAAAAATATACAATGGAAAAATTCACCTTCAAGCAATATTAAAAATTTAATTATTAAGTTAATGGCCAAATAGATTCGATAATAACAAGTAAGGAAGTTCGGACCGCTTACTTAATCATCATCAGTTAAGAAAACTATTGTGCTAATTTAGTTGGATGAGGGACTAACCAAATTGGTTTAATGGAGTGATTTCCCAGTCTAAAAGTTCTCTTAGCTAATGATGATCAAGTAAATGGTCAAAACATGTATGAAAGACTGAAAGGTTCATTATTATTTATTGTTGAGTTACAGGCTAAATGTAGAGTGAAAATCCACAAACAATTCAGGTTACCCAAACATCGTTTCATGAAACACCCTGTAAAAGATAATAAAACATTGTGTAACTGTGCCACGCATCATATCATATCACGTCATATCATTTCAAACTAAATTCTATAGAACTCATATGGGTGCAAATGAAAGCATTTGTAGCATTCAAAATGAAAGACCTTAAGCTAGTGTTTGATTAAGTCATTGAGGATGTGAGTCACACCAGAGAGTTGGCGTAACGCAGTCCAGCATATCATTAAGGAAGGGGAGAAAATCTATCTTGACTACTTGTTGGTTAGTAAATGGATAACATTAGGCAAAACCCAGAAATTTAGCTAAATAAGGGTGGTACTACATGCGCTCCATATTGAGAGTGGCCCAAGTATTCGTTTTGTCACCTTGTAGTCCCTTTGCATACTTAATGAGGTTTAATCACTGATAAGTTTCGTCTATATCCAACCACTCTATTGTGAGGATATACTATTCTTGGCAGTTAAAATTTTTTGATTTTTGAAGCTTAAGCATTGATACCTGCCTATAATTAGCAGGTAAGATTTAAAGAAATATTTATTGCGAATTAAGTGCTATTTAAAAAGCTTCTGGTTTTCTCCTGGGTCGGTTGTTGTTGTTGAGTCGAACTATTTCAGTTATGCTCTAAAAAAGCCAACAGGATAATTGGCGAAACATCAGCAAATTCGACTCAACAACAACTGACGCAGGAGGAATCCAGAAGTTTTGTAAATAGTATTTATTACAGTAGTCTGTGGAAATTTCTTTTAAAAATTAACAAATTAATTGTTAAAAACGACAAAAGATAAACATTAAAAAAGAGTAACAGACCTGCGGAGTAGAAGACTGAATCTCTTTTTGATAATCTCCCTCGTTATCTGCGTTTCCACCTTGATCGTAATATGGGTACATAAGGATTTTTCTTATTTGGGCAAGACGAGTTTCGGTTATAGTGTATGGCGTTCCCGTGCCGCCTCTTTGATCGCTGTTTGGTGGCGCCACCCGAGATGTCATGGGGTCTAAAAACCATACAGACGTCTTAGGTTTAAAAACGAATTGATTAAAAATTAAATTAACAAACAAATTAAATAATATACACGTCACAATCCGCGGTCACTGCAAACAAATGGTTACTGTTTTAAATATAATTAAGTTAATGTTTTAAATATACTGCTCAAAAAGGTTAGCAGTTGATTTAAGCTATTGCATCCATTTTTGAACTAGTAGACAATAAATATAACATTTTAAATGTAGGATTGTGCTTTGGAATTAAGTAATGTATATTGAAAGTAGCGCCCTCTATAGGGAGCGTTAAAAATATTGTGACGATAGAGCTGCTAGCTGTTAGAAAATTGAATCCGGAGCTGCTGAATATAAATAACCTACTGACATATATGCTGGTATTGTCTATAGTGACTAGTAGAATTGACGATTTGAAAACGTATTCTTAAAGTTTTCGAGTCGATGGCAAGAAATCTCCTACAAAGAAATCCAGGGCGTTATTGGATCGGCGGTATCTACATATCCACTATCCAACTGTTAATCGAACATCCTGTATATTCCCATCTTTGGCAAATATTTAAATTCGACTGACTCTGAAGTATTCACTCTGTATAGGTTTAAACGAAAGTATGTGTACCTAATAAATTCTTATCTTATTTACTGTACTCAGGTGTATATTGAAAATCAGGTCAGGCAAGGTAAAACGTGTTAACTAATTCTTGCACGGTATGCCGGGTGTCCCAGTGAGAAATTGCTGGAATTTATATTCAAACGAACGGGCCTCCAGAGAGAGCAACTTCTAATGCGACTAAGAAAATGTTGAAGGAAATAAATAAAATGGTGGGGAAAGGTCTTTTTATTTAAATGTGTGGGTATCGTTTAAAATATTTTCTATTTTATATTTTATATTTTCCATGACAAAGAATAATATAATTAACACTAAACGATAGGGGCATTGTCCTACAACTTAACAAACATTGGGCTTGTGTTCCTCAATTTTAAATGTACAATGTATTTATGTACAATTTTATCTAATAGTGAAGAGGAATAAAATATAGTGAAAAATACGATATAAAAAGCCCTTAACTATATTATTTCCAAACTCAATATCAGTAGCTCCCTTGATTGAGTAATTTAACTTAACATCGATAATAACAATAACAAGAACAAGGTTATGGAAACAACAGACTTTTGAAGGCTGGTGCATAAGTTTATGCAGGGCGTAGAGCGTTCAATTACTTGATTCTGCGTCCTGCAAAAACTTTTTCCAGAGAAATCAAAATGTACCAAATTATAACAATACTTTCTTCGATTAATAAAGTAATCAAATAATAAAAAAACGCTGCTGTGATTATCATATTCTTGATCCAATAAGCACTTTTTTCAAAGCCTGACATTCTATTTGTTTATTAATACTGGACTAAATTATTATTAAGAACACTTTTCACGACTGGCGTTTAACACAAAACTGTACTTTAAAAAACACATTGGTGGAGTCTGGTAGAGATGCACTACAAATGCTGAATTTTCTGGTCCATAATTGAAAGAAACAATATGGTAACAAATATTAATCAAGTACATCACTAAATTTGAAAGAAAACAAAGAAAACTTCTAAAATCGTTAAATGGTAGGAGATAACTTTTATTTCAGTTTTTAAGTAAACTTTGTGACTTATTAGTGGACTGCCCTGAATTGCTGAGCGAGCTCAATTTTCATGTTCCTCCGAGGACCGTAAGAGTATCACCTATGTTTCACCCAGTAACCCCGAAAAACAATTTTTTGACCAAATGTCCTCTCTACCACTAGAATAAATTATTCAATGATTTCTGAAATAATATTGACTTTTCTTTCTTAGACACTCACAGTTTACCACATTAATTAAACATACATTTTTGTTAGTATGAATATCTAGTGCATTATGTACTTTTACTATTATTTTACTGAAGAGAGAATAGATATAGTTATGTTGTGGTATTTTGGTATTACTATAGATTAAGATCCAAAAATAAATTGTTTGTATCTTTCTCATTTTTCTCAGAATTGTCATAATCAAGCTAGTGACACTCTGTTTTTAAAATAGGGCAGTTGAGAGCTTGTATTTTGGTATTTATTAATTTTTGTAAATATTTTTCGATCTTTCTAAGCTTTTACTAAACTCTTTCCTGTGTGATGGACACTTTAGAAAAGTAACTTTCCTTTCTTCAAAATGGTTCAAACAATAAAAATCTGAAATTTTATAAAGATCATGATATTTATTATAATATTTAATACCTCCGTAGGCAATATTCTGTAAAAAAAAACATTTTCTGATTTGCATTAGAAGTTGTTCCGCCTACCGCCAGTTTTAAGAACCTGGAAATAATTTGCAGCAACTTCTAGTGACCTCCTAGTGGCACACAACGTAACAACATAATAAAGTTTTATAGAAAAAAACGATTTTCACCTCAGTCTCGACGAATGAAAATTTGCATTTATATTACCCTAGTAAAATGGTGATTTGTGAAAACTCATTATGGGACTTATTACTAAACGACCAACGACGCTCATTTATTGGTCATTGTAGGAACGTGCCTACCTACCTACGCTTGGCGTTTTGCCGCATATAATCAAAATGATTCTGTTATCAGAAATCCTAAACCAAATAATAAAGAAATTACACATAGAAATTTTCGGAAAGTGTTATCTTATGTAGTTATATTTTTAGATATAACATTGTGAATCCATTTCCTATATTTCTTCAGAGCAACGCGAAACCTATGAGTTTGCTAAATCTTCTTAAACCATAAAGTTAAAACTTGTTTAACTTATTAAAGAGAGTAGAAAAAGACGCCTTGTTAATCCATAGGACGCGATGTGATGAAAGTCCTCTAGATATTAGAAAGATACTTCCATTGTTCTGTCTAAATTTATGAATTTCTAAATAAAACATACTATAGGGATTCTATGTTGATTGCAATTTTTTTCTTGCATCTTTATATTGTTCTTGCTTGGTTGGTATAATTGGTAAAATATATACTTTAGAGTGTAGAAAACGAACTCATTGATGTATGCAATATTTGTTTTTTATCGAATACTTTACATCTGCAGTTAGAATCAAGTATACAAAGATATAAATTTGGGAGTGCCACTTCATAATCTTTACAGATCTGATAGTATATTTGTAAGCAAACCCCCAAAAACTCTATTGAGTCCTGAAAGCTTCGTAAAAATTAGAGATAACCAATATTTGAGCAATATTCCTCACTGAAAACGATGAATCATTCCCGGGTTGACATTCCTTTTCAATGACTCATCACATAATAATAAGTCACCTATAAAATCGCAAACTAAGAACAGTCTCATTAGCAAAACGCGATAATAGTAGTAAAAAGGACCCTCAGGCAGTAGTTAACTTGCGAACAAAAAAGGTTCGCAGCATTTAAACGCCGCACCCAAAACAAATATGGCGCCCAATCAGCTCGACACACACAAATAACACGAAAACAAAGCATGTGGAAGCAAACCACAACTAACCGTAGTCGGTGGGATAATATGTCATATACTTTCCAGATCTGTAGATAATCTGACCCTCTTTTAAACTACCTTGATCCTCCTCTACGTTTTCTACGTCTGTCGGCGGTTCATAATCGGAATTTGGGGTTTCAGGAATTGGAGTTTCTACAGGTGGATCAACTACAACAAAATACACGAAAGGCGTACACGGTTAGTGTGAAAAGTAAAAATTCGTTAGGGTTTGTTGCGGCAAATGCACTTCTCTAGCTTACCTGAGTTATTTTGGGGACTTTGGGTTCCTACGGGGGTGTCTTCTGCGGGAATGGGCTGCGGCGATAAATTCGTATCCAGACTTATTCCAGGCACCGTTTCAACATCTTTATCCACATCTTCTTGTCCACGTATGGTCACGCACACAAGGCACAACCAAAAACACCATCTTAGTTCCATTTTGGAACTATCTCTCGTAATGAAAAATGATCGATAGACGAACGTACTGCATCCGTTTAGCAAGGTGTATATCGATACGATGTTTCACTAGATTTTAATTGCTTATCAGTAAGAGATAACAAAAATGATATCCTCTAGGTGTGTTTTACGAACGAACGTGACACATTTTTGTGAAACAGTTTTATCTCAGTTTATTTATTGGGAAATAATTGTTAATAAATATGACCTTATCATTTTTGATCCCGAGAGCAGGTGAAATCCCCATTTTTAACTCTTAGCTATTTTATGCGTTCAGGGCTTAATCCAATTATATATTATATATAGTATTATTGTGAAAGTTAATAATTTTATCAATGAAAAATCAGATATTGCATTTCAAGAACGCGTCCATCATATTTTTTTAGCATTTTTTGCAATAAACTGTTTTAGTCGAGCTTTGAAGAAGCCAACAAGTGGATTGGTGAAACGTCAGCAAATTCGATAAGTCAACAACCGAAGCAAGAGGAATCCAGAATATTTGTAAATAGTATTACACCAGCTTGTGGAATTCGAAAATGTTTTTTAAAAAGTGGTGTCCTATTTAAAAAAAGAGACTTGGTCTCGAAATCAGGTTTTTGACGCTCCATGTATATTTTCTATTTACTGTCAAAAATGCGAATTTGTTCCATATTTTGGAGGTTCACTGAATATAAAAAAAAATAATAAAAAATATAATAAAATGCCAATCGGTAATCTTAAGGGTCCTTAATTTAAAAATATACTGTTGCTCAGAATTGAAAATAGATTTTGAGTTAGAACAAATTTAAGCATGTGCATAATTTGCTTATACAAGCTTATATAATTCTTTTCAAGTTCCGATATTCACGTTAAAATATAGTAATATTCAAAACATTCTCTCGATTTAAATATCAGAGATAAACCTGATTGTTTCATTCCAAAACTTTGAGAGTCTAAAACAGTCACTTCTTCTGAAACATCATCATATCATATCTCAAAGTAGACAAAATGAGTTAAGAAATCAAAGTACTTAATTTCAGTTAAAATGCTGCACTTTTAAGACGAGAAATTACATTCTAGTTCTGAATAACTTTTATTTATAAAATAAATAAAATACGCAATCTCAAATAGTAGAAAAATAGAGTGTGATATAGGTAAACCTAAATAAATGTTATTTCAGAGAAATAGTTCATTGCAGACATACCAATCTAAGATTTTTTTCTGAGAAAATGAATTATTCATTTACAAAAATACTTATTTATTTATTTTATTAAAAATGGATCCAGTACCTTTGAGATCTAGATGTAAAAAGCAAGTGATACACTTACATTTCAAATTTAAGTAATGCACAACATCGTAATGGATAGAATAAACAAGAAAATAACGAATTTGTGACTGTGTTTTTCCTCAACTTTACAGAAGTCGATTTTGCGGTTGAAAAAATTGACAGATTGGGCATGCGAGAAGTTTTCGAGAAATAAATTTAATCATGTTTGGGAAGCCGTAAAATGCCGGTTAAAATTACGAACTTAATTTTCAATTAGAAAATCTAGAGCTAGAGACTACTCAGAGTACTGTACATATCGAAAGGTCTAATTTTCTGATCTTGCGACGCTACAACAATTGTTATATCGTGCAGAAATAATATCGTTATCAACGATAAGGAACCTCCATTAAATTGGTGTTTTGATTTTGAAGGCCGCACCGTACCGAAAAGACTGGCAACTTTCTTGTCTTCTTTGTGGACGGGCCGGCAACGTCGTGAGAATCCCGTGACGACTTTGTTAATTCCTTTTTAATGCTAGCTGGATTTCGTTAATGTTTTTCTTTATTTTTACATATATATATATATATATATATATATATATATATATATATATATATATATATATATATATATATATATATATATATATATATATATATATATATATATATATATATATATACATTTGCGGATAACCATTGAACCGAGAGTGTACCAGAGCCCAAACATTTTCTCAAAATAATATAATTAGGCTCCGCCACCACAGTGGTGTATGTTTTCAAGATTTTGCAGGAAATTCCATCAGGTCCTGGAGCAGAACATTCTTTTAGCTCAGAAAGAATTTTTTCACGTCCTTTTGGTCAAAGTGAATGTCTCCTTAGAAATTAAGATTCACGGGCCCCTCTTAGTAAGACGGTAGATTGGCGGGTTCATCGGAAAACATACTAGCAAAATATGAGGCAAATACGTTTAAAATAAACTCCTGGTCATAGAAGACCTCTCCCCTCTCTCAAAATATTTCTAATCTCAGGAGGGCATACCCTTTGGGGTATTTAGGTATTTAGTTTTGAAGCCAGACTTCGGTTGTCTAACCTGTAAGGAGAAACTGTGCAAAGCATATGTCATAATCCAGGGTAGATAGTGTAAATGTGTTCACGTGTCATTAACGTCGTTGTGAGGAAAATTGCATGCGTGGTTGGAAAGGTCTGCAGCTAACCTTAGAAATCTGTTATGCATATAATTTTCAGATTATTAACATCACATATGACTTAAATTAAAAAATTAATAACAACATTAACAGATGTGCCAATTAAGGAATCAAGCCCAAATTTGTCAATTAATCTGGGATCTGAAGTAAGTAGAAGGTCAAGGGTTGATGAAGCGCCGTTTTCTTGGAAGTGTGTGTCTTCTTCATCAAGTCGACTAAGATTGCAATCGAACCAAAAATCTTAAAATCTTAAAAATCACAGGTTTTCCATGGACGTCGGCAGATAATCGTTCCATTTAACAGGGTAGGATATTCATCAGAAGCACAATAATTTACATTTATCTAAGTTACCTAGGTTGAGTTTGTGCATCACATATTTATAACATTATTGAGACTAACTAATAAAAATATTGCATTCTAATTGAATTTGAATTAGAATTTCGTCATTTGTTCCTTTCTAGTTTTTTTGTAGTGTTTTTGTTTCTATTTGTTAAAAATAAGCAGTTAAAAAACACTATCCGTTAATTACCCGAAATCGAACACTAAGTAATTACTTGTGCAATAATCCTATTAAATAACTTCACAATTCATTGCTTCTCTTGAAAACAGAACTCAATTTTTGATACATTGTCGTAATCAGATCGAGACATAAAAACTAAAAACACCTACTGGTGGTAGAGGGTCAATAACTGAAAACCATACGATTGGTTGGACAATTAAACATCAGAAAAGAAAATGTCTTAAGGTTCGTTAAGGTGGCAAAGATTTGAAAAAGCTTTTCTATAAAATAATGAGATGCATATGCCTTTTACTGATCTCTTAGTAACCCATTTGCCTACCTTAAGGTTCAATTTTCAATTTTCAATTAATCATCAGGAATCATAATATGGAAAAATTATCGTTCACGGCACCCTCTGTATAACTGAAAATATTATATTTTTTGCTAAATAAGGGAGATATTGTACTTTGTTACACCATTACGCCACCCTGTATATGCTCATTTTTCAACAGAATCGCTAAATTACACTTATTTTATGTCATATGAGGAATTAAATTCGGACTGGTTTGCTGATAAATTTTTTCATCCTTTTGACAGTCTAATCAAAAATTGCAGAGAAATCATTTAACTACGTTGTCAAGTATCGAAATAGGGCAACGGTAAAGGAAGAAGAACATTTGCTTTATGGAAGAAGAAGAATTTGGACATAACATTTTGGTAATTTTATTTGTAATTTTACCTAGCGAGTGTCTAATAGATTCTACAAATTTGGTGAATTTAACTCCCTCCTGATTTATTGCACCTTGAAATTCATTTTTGGGTGGTTCACGTTTTGGTGAACGTTTCATGGGATTTGTTGAAGATGAGCTCCATGAAGTTAAAAAATTGTGCAAAAATGTTGCTGGTACAAAACTTATTTCCTGTGTGCCCATAATGGTTCGCGCCGAAATAAAAAGAACAGATTTTAAAAAGCTGGTGGTTTGTCTGCAGTTTCCAAAGGAGTATCCCAATGCATCATTGCTTATAGAATTAAAAAGTAAAACTCTTTCCGAAACACTTTTACTTGACTTAACTAATATATGTGAACAAGAAACAAAGAAATTTCTAGGAAAACCGCAAATTTTACACATTATTAATTTATTAAGAAAATTCATTGATACAACTCCCCTATCATGTTGTTATGATGAAATAAAGGCTTTAAGACAAATCCTAAGTGAACAAGATGAGTTGAAGCTAAAACAAAAGACATCTAGTTTGGCTTTAAAGATTTGTAATGGAAGATATTATCTGGTTTGTAGGTTAAGTATCCCAGATAATTATCCTCAACAATGTGTTGAGTAAGTAGCTTGTTTGATTATTTTTATTCCAAGTTTTGTTAATTTTTGGATATAATTCTTTATTGTTTTTCTAGTCTTCAAGACACAGACACAAATTTCTCACCGACATTCTACAGACATATGGTTGCTCAAGCAAAAGAATTAGCAAGAAGATGTGTGGAGCCACCTTTAAAGAGAAAACCAAATGATCCACCTTTTTCACCTGGACCATCCTTGGAGAAAACAGCCTCTTTTCTTATTGATTGTGTCAAACGTCTACCAGAAGAAGATTGTTGTTTTTGTGGAAAATCGTGTTTTCCTGATGATCCTAATGTAAGAACACCATTTAATTTTAGCACTTATCAATTTTAAAATGACTTCTTTTAGCTACTTGAGAGAGATGAAAATTCTCCAAATCATATCGAAAGAATATATTGCAGTCATCTTTTTCACCAAGCATGTCTACTAGCTTTTCTAAAACAGCCCCCCTTTGGCAACAAGAAATGTGCAAAGTGTGGCAGTAAAATTAGTCATTTTAAATGGTCACTCAGTGATAAGCTGGCTGAGGCGAGATGGGCGCATGAGCAAGCCAGGGAAAGGGAATTACAAGAAGTGACAGATTTCTTTAATTGATTTATTTACATTATTTTTACTTAAGTTAGGAATTTACTAAATTAAATAAAATTGAAAAAATAAAGTCATTTCTGATTTACTCAACCTCCAATATTTTCACAGTCCGAATAAGCAAAAACTCAAATCAAAAATGTCCTGTTTTAGCAAATGCGATATCCCCGCGTTTTTGAAATATAGAATTTTGATAAAATAAATTTATGAAGGCATTTAATTAAACGTGGACAATGACCGAATGGCTTTAGTAAATTTGCCCATATTGTAAATGAATACTTATATTCTGTGGCAAACCCGAAATTGTGCGACAATTGACGAACCGAAATACGACGGACTACATTTTGCTTGTGGGTTTGCTGTCAGTCTCGCAAACAACAAGCCAGGGTTAGCAAAAAGATTTTTAATTACTTTTAGTTAAAATTACCGTCAACTAGTGAAAACACTTTTTTATTTAATTTAATCAACTCAGAACCAAGTGGTAAGTTGCTTTGTTCTAGTAATTTTCTGCAAATACTCGTAGAACCAATTTTAAAAAATGGGTTGGTGCTGGGATAGGGTTTTGTCAAAAAGATGTGCGTCACGTCTGCCTCGTTGCTTGATGCTTTTGTTTAAAATTTTAGTGGCTTAAGCTTAATTGTGGTAGATTCTATTTGGCAGAATTGCATTAAGCTAAACAGACATTAAATATTTTCATGGACGTTTTCGTTACATTGCGAAATGGTATTTTATCTAATTCAATCTGTAGCAAACGGATATAGAAGGTTTGTTTTTTCTGCTTTAGTTGGTTAGAGTTATCGGTGGTTTAACTCATTAAATGTATGTATTTATATTAATATTATATTAAAATAAAATGATGAATCCTCATTCTTATAATAAAACCTTTTTATTTCCTGGTCATTTTAAATGCGAGAAATTTCGATATCTGCTTTTGTTCCTTATTAGGCACTTGCTAAATATTTTGGCTTCCTAGAAATTATCGACCCATCGAAAAGGCATTTACCTGAAATATGAAGTTTCTTGGGATTATCCTTGGAATGCACTTTCCTGGTGGGACCTTGAATACCGGTGAACCGTTCCGTCGGTCGGTGACCTCCACAAGTCTTTGTTCAAGCGAGATTTTAACAAGTTTTACTTTTTTTAGTTTTGTTTTATTGTTTCCGCCGGATCATTTTATGGTGACGTCGCAGAAGCCTATCGCAGTTTTTTTCTCATAAATCGCATGACCAAAATTATTGCGAACGAACTAACACAATTATAGTTCTTAAATTTCCAAATCTTTTTTGTAATGAGCTGAATACCTGGTTGCCAACGAAATATTTAAGTGCAAATTGAAAAAAGTCGTGGTACTGGTAAATTCATTAATTTGCTTTGTCTCATAAGTAGGTTTTGATTTTTTTAAATATATTAGAACAAACAAAAATAAGTATTTGGTTTTAGAACATAAAAATGATAAGATAATTCAACTCGGAAATTCCGGTACTTTTATTACTTTTAATTCGGGGTGATTTGAAGCAAAGGCCACAAATGACCAGGACACAAAATTGTTAAGTGTCAAATTTAAATTCAAAATTTCAAATTGTATTTGAACTCCTATTTATTAGATACCTCATTGTTTGATAACTTAAATGAGTAAAATGTTACTAAAGTACCTATATTTACCAGCGACACCTGCTATGTAATAATCATATATATTGTATTGAAAATCATTTTAACTTTTAACTGAACTACGCAAAAGTAAAAAATCTTTTAAATTTACAATTAATGAGAAAATAGATTATGCGTAAGAAATGAAGAACATTTTGAAAAATCTGTTATTAACAATTTTATTTTTCTTCTATATAAGTAGTAGGTCATAAATTGACCTCGAAAATATCAAAAATGGAATTTGTGCCACGTAAATTTTGTCTTCATTTTTATACTACAACATGTTGTAAATACATTTTTTCATATTATACTAAAAAAGAAATGAACTAAACTACAGCTAAAATGCACTTTCCAAAACGATACAAAAGCAAGGAGCGCTCTTTACCCAGAGAAATATTTGATGAGAGTTAAAAATAGGCCGCCCCTAAAGAATAAAATTGGAATCGGCTATACAGTTTCATATCGAATTTTATTGGTATGTTGATTGTTATTGTGATATAGTGTCTGGATCAATAAAGCGATAAAAATGAGTAATAAGTATAGTACTACATTTTAAAAACTATCGCTTTACCTTTTAGGTGGATGTCCTGTTCTAGAAAAAAATAGTGGCTGGTAATATCAGTTTAATTAATTAATATAGTCGTCACAGAATAATAAAAGCATAATAAAAGTGAATCAAAGACCCGGGCGTAACTGCAATAGGATGTTCCTTTTGCAGTTTTTATAAAAATCAATAGACTTTCCTAGTTGGGCGTAGCTACCATGAAATTGATTTAAAAAAGTTATTAACGAAAATAAATGCAATGACGTCAGTGCTCGTATTAATTTACGGCTGTGTTGGGTTTATAAACATCGCCTCGTGCATTTGTCAAATAAAAGGTCCTAATTTCGTCTAAAACTGTTTTGTTTTGTTTTGTTCCCGGCGGATATGCAAATACTTCAAAAAATAATTCAGACAAGTTCGGTCTACCGCGAAATTTGTTGCGGAAGAAAAAAATGGTTTACTGCAGCAAGGTTCTAGGTTGGATAAGGCTTGATTACTCAGATGCGGACAAGAAACAGAAACATTTCACTAATAATTAGTAATAATCACTGTAAGTGAAAATTATAAAACATTGATGGAAATCCAACCAAGTGCATTCTCTATTCCTGTTCCTCAAATTCAACAAGAAACAGTAAATACTGTCTAATTTACAACCTTACCTTACCGAGCAAGGAAGCAACCTCAAAATTAAAACAGCAACCGTGAGGCAAATTCAGTTCATATAATGTATTTACATTTTAATACAATTTATATCAACGAGTTTGAAATAGCAACTTATAAAAGAGCACTTGCGATATTTTGGTGGTTTCTCCAATAACTAGTAGTAAACTTATTTTATCGCTTTTGACGAAACGTTTTTAATTTGAGACTTATTATATAAATAAAAGAAGTTACAATGCAATTAATAAACTGTAGAAAGAAGAGGTCAGTCAAAATTTATTTAATGAAGAATAATAATTAATATCTAGTAAAAGACATAACGAATTTGAACCGATAAACACATTTCTTTTTTTTTTTATTAAAATGTGACCAAATTTAATTCTTTTTGGGACGTCTCTGCCGTTCAGGCCAGTACCCTTAGCAATCACTAACGGGTGTATGTTCGCAGTAGCGTTTTAAATAAATATTTATATTTCATTGAAATCGCATTCATCTGTATAAAATAGATGGAATCTGGGAATAAAGTGGTTTGGCATAGACCACTCTCTTCCTCTATGTTTTTCCTATATGACACGAATTTTTTAACAACCTTAGCAAATTCTCTCTCTTAGAACTAGGATGAAATATATGCCATGCAAACGATAATAAATTGTTACAGAGAGAAAGTCTTTGACACAATTAAAAATATCGTTAATCTAACGCAGTCATTACGCCCGCCGTATGTTTCGCGCAATTTTACCTTTGTTATTTATCTTTGCATCCGTTTTTTTTTTAATTTCGAGTCATTTTGATATAATAATATAATTTATCAATTAAAAGGCTTATTTTATTTAAAATATAGATTAATGACTACGAATAATATATCAGAGAATCAAACCTAAGTCTGAACAATATTGACGCCATAAATTGTGTCAGTTAGTCTATATGAGAGATAACTTGAATTGAACTGAGGGCTTTCACTTGATGAAAATCCATCTATCAAAATAAATAAGAACTAAAAGTTCAGATTTTCACGAAATTATATATTTTTACATGAAAATTGTTTCGACAACACCGTGTCTTTATCAAATTAGAGATTACCATTTAAGGGTTATAAACACTCCCTTGCAAACAGTAACATTTCAAGTAATATTTAAATGAACATAAGCATTATTAAATATATGTGGGTTAGCGCAATTGGCGATTGTGTATAAAATTCTGTCCTTTTAAATATATGTTTTGTTTATATAACTGTAACAGCAATAGCAACCTTGCATTAAAAAATGTGTTCATTTCAATCAACCAATATTTTTTTAAATTTGACCATTCTAGATTAGGTTTCAGCAGTATTTTATTTCCTCTCAGTTTTGTTTCAACATGTGCCCTTTTTCTTTTTAAGGTTATAGGACCACTTCCCCTAGGCCAAAATAGTCCTTAAAGTAAAAAGCCTTCCAGACAGTGCAATTGTGTACCTGCGCACCCACACCCCCACCACGGAGAGCCCCAGGCAACCGGGGCCACAAGCAGCTCGTGCATCGGGGAAGGTACGGACAGAATTTTTAAACTGTATAATTTCTTTTATTGGCACGCATTTTCAGGACGGCTCTGCTGCCCCTTCCACCAATAAACGACGCTGGGTCCCACCATCGACATTGAGACACCGCGATGCCCTCACTCCAGAGTCCCGTAACGATCAGGTGTTCCGCAGAGTGCGCGGTATCCTTAATAAGCTCACGCCCGAGAAATTTCAAAAATTGAGCGACGAGATCCTACGCATCGAGCTACAGTCTTTTGTCATTCAGAAGGGCGTCATCATACTGATTTTTGAAAAGGTAAGAGAACAATTGGAGAGGCTAACAAATAAAAATATAGCTACTGGCTTTTCTGGAAAAATGGTATCAAATGCATGTGTTGAAATAAATAACATTTTTAGCAATTACTGGACCTTGTAGTAATTGTTTAAAATAAAAGTAAAGCCTTATGTTAACTTTAAGATTTCTAACCACAGCCACCATTCCTTAGTTGTACCAAAAGTTTGTAGTGTCATATGACGCTTTTAAGGACGAATTTCGTAATCGTAATTATATTTTGTGGTTTATAATAACATAACCTTGCTTTTTGATTTGTTTCAACAGTTGGCATTACTAAATTTACGCCAAATTTTGAAGAAAATAAGAACAATTTATAAAACGCTCTATGAATTTGTTTGAGTATTAAACAAAATGGTACATTATACTCATCAAAATTTGCTCATGAACCAACTTCATGAAAAAGCTATTGCATACAATTTTCCAAGACTAGGTTCGAATTTAATATCCCCCTGGTACATTTATTTCATAGGCTCTAGATGAACCGAAGTATTCGTCGATGTACGCTCAGCTGTGCAAGCGGCTAAGTGAAGAAGCTCCGAACTTTGAACAAGGCGACGGTACCATTAGCACCTTCCGTAAATTATTGTTAAATAAGTGCCGGGTCGAATTTGACAATCGAGCTGCCGCTCTCGAACGTCACAGCTATGGAGCGGTCGATCAGGACGGTACGCTGCTTGAGGAGGACGAGCTCGAAGAGCGTCGTCAGGCAGCAAAGAGGAAAATGCTGGGCAACATCAAGTTCATTGGTGAACTGGGCAAGCTGGAGATCTTATCGGAAAACATATTACATCTATGCATTAGGGTTAGTGAATTTATCCATTTTAAGTTCTCACCTCTTCCGCAAATTCTCGGTTCTGGGGTGGTTCAGGGTGTCTCATTGTTGCGATCTCAGTAATTGCATTATTTGGAGTAACAAACAATTTGTTAGATTAATAGAATCGTTTGCTTCTATATTCTCGATACTATACTTTGTAGGATCAACGCTTATAGTTTGGTTATTTCTGGAAAATATTTTTTAAATTACTTAATACTAAAGCTAGACTTTTAATATAATCAAATAAACAAAATCAAATTATTCAAAATAAATTAAAAGTTCCAATAAATGAAGATTTTCTCCAGACAATAGATCACCAAAACTTATCGTCTAGACTATCTGATTTTCTTCTTTAAAATAATGATTTAATTAAACATATAATAGAATATTTGAATTGAAAATTGTAAATTATGCAAGTGTGGTAAAGGACATTTGTGTGACGAGTTTATTATTATGGTTCATAAAACAGTGACTTAAGAAGTTTATCAAACTTGTTGCCATTAGTTTTTTACCACGAGAATTTTATTTCACATGGATCTGAGCCCCTTGGGACATTTCCGGGATATTACTATACGGGTTTGGGAGCAACCAGATGTTTTTGGAAATTTTATAGCAAATATTAAATTTGACGTTTGTCAATTCTGGCCGCCATATTAGTGAATATATTCGTGTTAATTTGCAAAAATATATCAAAAAGTAACGGTAGTAGATAAAGTATGGTATTCAACAATTAAAGTTCTTTTATTATTGGGAGCACATTATTCTATTTTTGATCATTTTATGATTCTTTAAGGGGTTTGGAAACACTTCTTTATTGCTTTTTTTTTCTCAAAGAAACTTCCACAGGCTACTGTAATACTTTTTACATAATCTCTGGATTCCTCCTGCGTCGGTTTTTGCTGAGTCGAACTTGCTGATGAAGCTAACGCAGAAGGAATCCAAAAGTTTTGTAAAAAGTACTTCTCTATTGCAATATTTGTGGTTGCAAACTCGTTCTAGATAGATAGACGTATATTTAAAAAAAAATATTGTAGAATTTTAAATTCTTCCAATAAAAAATAAAAAACAAATAAAGAACACTTTAAGAACCAAATGCAAGACAACAGTACACAAACAGACAAAACAAAATATACACACACAACGCCGTAAAATTATGTGAGTTAATCACGAATGGAGACGCGCTTTCTAACTCAGTGGTATTTATGCATGGTTGATACTTGAGAATTTATCAGTCAAGGAAGACGTTAGAATCATTGATAATGTGACATGATCCTTCTAAAGTTTTTAAAACCTGAGCAACTGTTATGAAAACGACCCTAAATGAATGAAAGTCTTAAAACCAACCTGGACTACCAAAATATAAATAAATGAATATATAAATTTAACCGCCTAAAATACCTCATTTCGTTGATCAGGAGTTATTGGTTAGACGAGGCGACGACCCCTCGGAGGACCTGGAGTGCCTCTGCCAGATTATGCGCACGTGCGGTCGCATCCTCGACACAGACAAGGGTAAATACTTGATGGACCAATACTTCGAGCGTATGCGTACGCTCGCGGACAACGGAGACTTGCAGCCGCGTATACGGTTCATGCTGAAAGATGTGATTGACCTGAGAAACGATAATTGGATGCCGCGGAAAGCGGCTATTGTCGAAGGGCCCGTACCAATGGCACAAATTCGACCCAATGAAGACGACCGACTAGGTTTTAGAAGGTAAACTCCAGCAAAATTTGTTTATGTTGTCTGGATTTTCCGTTCAAGTATATTAACTTAAAAAATATCCTGCGGTTGTCGAATGGATTTGGTTTTGACATTCAAACCATCTGATTTTGTTTGTAATGTATCAATCGAGCTAATGCCATTTGTCAGAACCTTGGTGCTGTTTGTTATTTAAATCCCAACAAAGTCTGAAAAAAGGAATTTTCTCTCACAATAATTAACAAAAAAGAAATAGCAATGAAAATATAATGAACAGCATCACTGTTCTATCATTGTTAAATTTATAATTTTTATTATTATATTACGAAGTTAGGGAAGGTGGCAAAATGCAAAATAATAAAAGTAAGGAGCCGAAAATGTCTCCTGGGAAGTGACAACACAGGACATTTCTAATTTCAGAAAATATCAAAATAATGCAGCAAACTCTGTACTTTTTTTGAATTAGCATCCAGTAACACTAATTTTTACACGCCTAAGTTAATACAGTTAGTGAGCCATATACAGAATGTCTCAAAGAAATGAAGAAATTTAAAAAATAATAAATTTTTTTATTTCTCACTGTTTCTAACATCAAATGCTTCTGCTCAATTTAAATAAGTCCTATACCTATCTGATAATTTCTGAGATATATACATTTTTGTTTTTATTATTTATTAATAAATTTTGTTTGAAAGAAGTTCTACGCGCCCTTTTTTACGCCTTTATGAAAAAGTAGCCATTGTTATATATCAAATTGCTTGTATGTATGTGTGTAATTATAAACATGAATTTTTCTACTTATAATTTTATCACAAACAGATATGTCGGAAACTATGCCATGTAGGTATAGCTTGTTTATAATGAAAGAAAGCATTTGGTGCTGTCCAAAGCATGAAATAAAAAAAAATGAAATGAAATGAAAAAAAAAAGTTTTTGTTAACACTACCAGGAGTTTGTCGAAGTTAGTGGGTAACCCCATCTTTTATCAATGTCTTGCAATCACATCTTGATCTCACTTATTAAATGAAATACAGATTTTAGTAGCAAAGGTAACAATTACAGTTTATTACAAAAAAATAAAATAAAAAATAAACACAAACATTAAAGTAATAATCCTAAACCTCATAACTATAGTTTGATTGGGACGTTGATTTTGTTCTTGGTCGATATTAGTGGAATTGATATCTTAGTTAAACAAATGTTCTATTATGTTAAGTCTCATTTATATAATTTTGTGCTATTGGCGATTTTACAATTACATGAAACCTCTGGCGGAAAAAAATATAATAAAATATATAGCAATTCGCGAGAAAATTTACTTTGAAGATGACCCATGTCTTATAAAAAATGTAGGGATCGCAATCAACACGACCGAGACACGGACCGTTCCCAGACGGACGGTCTTTTCCGACACCCGTTAAAAACCAGAGGAGGCCTCGATGACATTTTCGGGTTTAATCCGTCGCCGGTGGCGCCTCTCATTTCCGCACCACCTTCGTTCGGGTCGGGTCCAAATGGGTTCGGCTCCGGCGGAGGTAACGGTCGGGACGTCCCTTTCCGCGGTGATCGTCGGGGCGTTCAAGGATTCGGTGGTGCCGGTACTGGCGGCGGGGGTTTCGAAAACAGCCGAAGGGGTCACTATAAGCACAACCAGAATAACAGTGGATCAAACTATAACAATCGTATGTATAGCGTTTATAACATATAATAATAAAAATAATAATATTGCTTTACTTGCAACTGTTATTACGCCCAATTATAGAAAATACTTAAAATTAAACAGTAGAACAAATAGCAGCGCGCTAATTCTAATGTAATACCTACCCGACAACGAAAATTGTTGAAAAATTAATTAATTATCCCTTAGTCTAGTGTTTACCAACCTTTTTTGTGGCATTTCCCACTATATCATTTATAAAAAAATTACGCCCCCCATACATAATTTTTAACATTGAAAAATTGTTTTGTTCACTTAAGAAACATGAATGATAGGTTTTAGGAAGATATCACTATGAAATTGCTATCAAATAACAGTAAATAATATTTCAAAACATATAATAAAAAAGTTAAAATTCAAATTCAATATAATTTTCAACAATAGGAATTGAATGCTCCCATACTAACCACCTATTTTAAGAAATCACCTTCGTGAGTGCTCTATGTGCTTTTATTTTTCAACGTATTAATTTGTTTCGTGATGATGATAAATTTACAATGAGAAATAATGTCTCTGTATGTAAAGCAACATTTCGTGATATAATAATTTTTCAATAATTTACTATTCAGTAAATAATCCCAAAGAATGGGGTCTTAATATATATCTTATATTATGTGAGGAGTATAAAATATAGCTTCTAAGGCTGCCTAGATTAAACTCTTGAAAATGATAATATGGAGAATACAGAGAAACAGAGTTTTAGAGTTTAGTTCTTAAAAGTATTTCTTAATAGCTCATGGTGTTAAATATCCGCACGAAAATTTTGAGTTTGTGGTTTTTGAAGATGAGGACTACAATCAAATTCCATTTATCACATAATATATAGAGGGCGCAAAAAAATCTCGCTATTTTCTTGTTAGTACCGTTTTGTTAGTTTTGGTTCTTGTAAAATTATGATAAAAAGATCATTTCTAAATAAAAATGATATACATAATACATTTACTCGTGTTAAATATATCGTTTTTGAAATATTTGCATTTACCACTGCAAATGACAAAATTTATTTCTCTTTCCCGTATCATCAATAACAATAACCAAAACTAACAATAACCCTTTTTTGGTCGCGTGATTGTTACAGAATCCAACAAAGATGTAGCTCCGCGCTTCAAAAAAAATTTGATCTTCCCGAAGGAAAATTTGGGCGAAGTGGAACTGAGACCATCGATAGTGTTCAACAAAGCTTCCGTAAAGAGCAACAACGCGATTAATGCCGCCGGAGGGGGCATGCAAACCAATCGGGGGGTTAACACCGCTCTCGAGCCGCCACACTTTGGCGGCAGTAAGCAGCCGCCGAGCGCTATAAAGGAACCGCTCCCGATCGCCCAAGACAAACCCAAGCAATCTAAAAAAGACAAGGTTTGACTGTCGCTGGATATAGAGGGTGTTGGTTTCTACTGGTGGTATTTTAGGGGCCAAACAAAGAAGAAGTGGTTAAGAAATTTAACACGCTGCTCGACGATTATTGGAAAGGGGAGGTCGATATTAAACAGGCGATTAACTGTTACAAGGAGCACAAAATTCCGGACAAGTGCGTAAAAGATGTGATTGCGTCCGGCCTCTCGCTCGCATTGGACAAGTCAGGTTCGTGCGATTTAATTTATTCATCGTTTAAATTATAGTAAGGCTTTTTGACAAGAGTATTCCCCCACTTAAAGAAAAAGCATGGAATATCAAAAATAAAGAATTGAAAGAAAAACTAAAAACGCTACTCTTAAAAAACAAAATAAATAAGTAAAATTTCACTCGAAAAATTTCTCTTCAACAATCCAAAAACTTTTGTACAGAGTGTGCCAAATTGGACACTTCAGAGAGGGTATAGAAGAAAACAAATGTTTAGGTCTCGATTTGCATAAAAAACATAATGGTAAAAACCGCACACCGATACTTTTTGCGCAGAATTAAATATTTTTAAAACTTAGTTTTTTTAAATGGACTTCAAATTACCTATCCAGAAATATAGCACGCCTTATATTTCACTTGAATCTCCTTGGAAAAGAGTAAGTTTTTAACTTAGAACAAGTGATGATGCTAGAGCGCGCTTTTTAAATTGGATACAACAGAATGTCTTTTTTTTCATAAGAATCTATTGAAATGATATCAAAATAGTCTAGGCAAAACAGTATATCAACATTTTGTTTCTAGCCTAAAATATCAATCACAGAAAATATAGTTTTGCTAATTTTATCATTTTTAAATCATAAAAGTAATCTTCAAAAAACTTTTAAAACAACGTGTTGGGGCATAAAATAATCAATATGCAAATGCAAAGATAGACATAGCAAAGACAAATAAATAACAATAGGTATCGGTGTAATCGCGTCTTAAAATTTTATGAAAAAACTAGCAATTAGATATCGCAATACAGTTATCATTACTCTGTTGAGCTATCATTAGAACATTAATCGCTCCCCATCACTATATCCTAAATAGACAGGTGAAAAAGTGTCAAATGAAGCTTAGCTTCAAAAAGCATAACAATGTTTTATATTAATAAATTATAAATATTTTCATGGTTCAATACTCTATTGGTATTGGCGTAAAGAATGGTACGTTTAACAGCAGGACAACACTTATCTGCTACACAATGTAATAAACGACAATGGAGTTAGAGCGGATCCATATGCACTTCAATGAATGCTATTCTCTCTAGTGTCAGGCTTGGTAATAACTATCCTAATTATTTGTTGTCCACTCCAAAGCAAACCGCCCCTGTATTCCACTTGCATCCATCATCATCTATCTGATAAGAGTTTGTAGTTTATAGCGTCGAACTTTCAACTTAAGTCAAGGAATAAACCTACAGAATGTTCCTTCTCATTTGCGAGCATTATCCCTAAACCGCCGACCCCTTAAACGTTTGTTTTCAGATATAGAACAAGAGAAGCTGATTAAATTGTTGGCGAATTTAAAAGAAGACGGTGCCGTATCTGGCTCGGCCGTGCAAGAAGCTTGCAAGTGTCTGTTCCACGCTTTAACCGAGAGAGAAGTGAACGGAGATCGAGAGGCGACCTTCAATGCGGCGTCCATCTTGCTGGCCGACGCGGTATGCGAACACCTGCTGCCCCTTTCGGACGTCGCCAGTTTGACGGACAACGGCGCCCATCATCCACTGTTCCTGTTCGTGCTGAGCAGAGTGAAGAAGAAGAGGGGCAAGTCGGAATTGAGCGAGATATTTAACAAGAGCAAAGTGAGTGGCCGGTGGCTATTTCGTTGTTTTTTCAATTATATTGTAAATGTTTTATATACGTGCCTTTTAGTAATTTTAATTTTAATTTTATAAAAAAAGATCACTCTGCACTCGTCGAGTATTAAAAATTGTACACACTTCAAAAAAATACTTCCTATCTCAGTAATTATGACTGTACCATCCGGACAAATTTTGTTTTTATTGTTTTTTTTTTATGATTTGATTGGTTTTGTTATTAGTTTGTAGATCTATTTATTGTGTTTTTCCTTCACTATTTTTTAAAGTAACATATATTTATTTATTCCATATATATATTGATACTGACAATGACCAAAACTTAATTTTTTCAAATTATTTAAAACTGGAATGTAATTAAATGTTCTTAAAAATTGTGTAGAATAGTGGTTCAATATGTAAGTTGTGGAATTTTCGTAATAATCGCCATAATTCTTAAAAGTTTCATTATCTTAATATGTTGATATCTTGATAGTAGTTAGGCATGCAACCCCGTGCCAGCAATTGTTCGATTACTGTTTCAAGCCAAACTCCAAAGTTTCGAAACTTACATTTCTGATGTTTTACTTTATATTATTTAAAGATAAATTAAAATTAAGCAAAATACTTGATCAAGCGACGTTTTCGTGAATCTTTTTATTAAGTACAGATAAAATCACAAAATTGTCTTCACATAGTGATATAATTTTAAATTATTTCGCAACATAAGTATCGAAATTGCCAAAAGAAGTGAAGCAAAAGTCAGATACTGGAATACAATAAGAGTTTTATGCATAGCGAAATATATAATATTTTAATTATTTAATATATTGTTTTTTAATTGTTCCGAAAATTATCGTTTCAAGTTTCAGTTCCATATTGTCAATACTTTCTATTATTGACACGAAACGATTGTTGCACGTTTTTATTTCAATGTGTAGGTTAATTTGATGGCCCAACTACCCGAATCGGATAAAACAAAGGAGCGTTTGTCGGAGATCTTGGAGGAATACGAGCTGGCTTTTCTCTATCCCTTGCTTCGTATTCAGGCTGACCTAGCGAGACAATTGGCGGCCGACTCAAACCCACAAAATTTTTACAAATGGATCAAAGTGGGTTTAAAAAAAGAATATTTCTATTCATCAGTGTAATATTTTGTTTTTTAGGAAAATCTTGAATCTGCCGACTTCAACGACCCTGGTTTCATTAACGCTCTCGTCACAGTATTGATCAAGTATATAACTCAAGAAGCCCAATCGGCAGGTGATGAAAAAGCAATGGTGGGCAATATTTATTTATCTATTTATATGTTTATTGTTTCTTTTTACAAACATCAATACAATGATTTGAAACTTGCAGATATATAACAATAACAATCCACACTTAATAGTTAGGTCAGTACTAACTTCAGATACATCACAAGATCAGGCATATATAAAGCATGATATTAACAGGTGATGTTTTTACTTATGGGTAAACTATATACTGTAATTCTTTCTGTACTTCTATTTCCTTAGAATTCCTTTCTAATTTGTTGTAATTCTTCTGGTATTCTTTTCGACCATATACCATAATTCTGTGGTTTACCTCGCAAGTTTTGTATTTGATAGTGTTGAGAGTAAAGGATATAAATAATACATGGGTGTGCCTTGTTCTTTTTAAATTATTGATATTGCTAGAATAATTGCTACTATTTCTTATTGTGAAACCCAGTGACCTGAGAGATTTTTCTCCAAAAATACACTGCGACATCTTTAATTTCTTCACTAGGCTGAATTTTGTCATCACCTATAGAGTAGTTAACAATTACGGCATAAGTGATTACCGCCATACATTTTTTTTATATTTAACTATATTTTATTTGTTCCAAACCACTTTCCGGCTCGTACTGTAGTTATCGACTGTAGGGTGTATGTAGCCTGTTAATATCGGGCAAATTGAATTCTTAACAACATGCGGTCGTGTATTAAATAAAATTAAAAATAATAGGGGAGCCAGGTTACTACCTTAAGGGACTTCCGATGCGCGTATATAAAGATCAGAAAAACTGTTACCGACTTTGTTTTTTGTAAATTGTAACATATCAAAAGTAGTCAAGACATTAGATAGAAACGATAGGTATCTATTTATGACAATAACACAAGTATTTTTCACACGCAGGTTCATAACAATTTAATTTAGAATTTAAAAAAAAGTAAAAAAATACAAACAGAATTGTTAAAATACACACAGGCACACCCTAGTTTTAGACAAACTTGCGCTCTTATTCAATATTGCATTCACATACTACTACATAACAATAGACAATAAAAAAAATGCAAAAATTAATCTATGATTAATTGTAGAGAACATTACACACACAAAACATTAACAATGTTACTACAATGGGTAGCAAAAACTAAATTTCAAAATTATAATTTAAAAGTTCTTGCGTATACTGATAATGGTTTTCCAATAACATTTTTTAAGAAGTGCATGTTACAAGCACTTAAGTGCTCATCTTGCCAACACCTAAAATAACTTATTTGTAAAGTTTCTACAAGATTTTTTCAAATCAATTGATGATTAATGAATTTTAAGACGATAGTAGAGCAACCAAAGTGGTTAATAAATAAAATGAATCGTTTTTGTGTTAACAGGTTGAAAAAGAAAACTCAATGTTGAAACGGTACCAGCCGATTTTGCACGCGTTCCTCCGCGACAAATCTTCGCTCCAATTGGTGGCGCTCTATTCGCTTCAGATGCATTTCTATACGCTGGGATTTCCGCGCGGACAGCTGCTCCGTTGGTTCGTCGCCCTGTACAATTTGGAAATCGTCGACGAGGAGGCGTTCATAAATTGGAAAGAGGATGTTACAGACGCGTACCCCGGCAAGGGAAAGGCCTTGTTTCAGGTCAGGATTCTAATTATTATTTTAGGGGAAGTTTATTTAGTAAATTAGATTTGATAAGAATGGGCTTTGATTTTTTTTATGCTACTTTTAGACTGACAATTATGACAACTTTGATGAGCATACTACAGCATTTTATATCAAGTACATGTCAATACTAGAATTTTTTATCCGTTTATTCACAAAATAGGATTTTGCTGTCAGTGTAAAACTAGTATTAAAAACATCTCAGATTTATACTATTTATCGATAGAAATGTTTTAATTTAAGTTTTGTGAAAATTTGCTTTAAGTAATTTAAACAAATATTTGGCATCAAAATTTGACACTAGAAAGTTGACATCGAGCTTGGAGTTAGAAACGCGAATTTTTAGGTAAATCAGTGGCTCACGTGGCTACAAGAGGCGGAATCTGAGGAGGAGGAAGGCGAGGATTAAAAAACTTTCGCTTGACCCAGGCACACAACACCAGATTCCTACACATACACGGTTTCAAATTAAGCCGCAAAAAAATTAGATTTAGGAGAAAAATGAACCTTGTTTTTCCTAGTATATTAGCCAATTATTTTTTTAATTTGTGTTGCTTTGTTTGTCCTTAAGATCCATAAGAAGAGATTAAACATAATATTCCCAGTATCAAATTGTTTTCAAAATATTGTCTAATTTAAGCGGAAACACGTTTTTAACTTTATTCTGTCTTAATCAATTAATTGCGATAAAAATATTTGCTGGAAATGTGACGATTCTGTTTTGGTTAATTCCAATAAACATAAACTTAGCAAAGGTGATGTAGATTCTTAAGTTTAAGTTGAGTTAGTGGTAAATGCATGAAGTTATTAGAAAATTGAGAAAAAAGGATAAAGCAAGGCATGCACGACATGGGAATTTTGCACCCATTTCAACTGCCTCCTGAATAATGTATTGCGTCTCAAGGCATCTGTTGATACATATGCCAATTAAAGAAACCAAAAATATAACATTTTCTGATTTTGATTTTGTTCTAATTTTCTGTTTTAATTATTGGTGGTGGGAGTATCCCTGCGCCTAAACTAAGGAGACCCAAGTATTTTTTTTATCAAAGTCCTGTGAGTAAGGAAATGTTTACCATTTTGTTTCTCAGAATGCACTATGTAAATGTGTTTTTATAGAAATTGATACCTTGTGTAAAACAGAAATGTGTTCCAGTTAATGTAATTTTTTATGTCGAACTATATTTAACGTATTTTTTCTAAAAATATTTCATTTTATTTTTATTAATGAATATTTTTAATTATATACACTTAGATGAAAATGTCTCACACTGAAAGTTGAATTGTACTGTGAAGTTTGTGTTAATAAATATGTTCGGTGGTGCTTTGCTATCGATACAAGTGTGCTCTTTTTTTGCCCCAAATCACCGCACTCCCTCAAATGGTGTTTTATTTTTAATAGTGAAAGCTGCAGATGAACTTAAATGGGCTACTCTTATAGCAATTGGAAGGAAAATGGTATACTAAAAAATGGTCATCTATAAATAACAAAGAAATCAATTTTTAACAAGTGTTTTACAAAAAAACTTTACAAGAAATATGTATCACTTAACAGGTTTCATTTGCCACAGTCCATCATTAAGATAATGGCAATTCTCAACTCCGACTCCTTTATTTACTTTGGCTCTGAAATTTTTAAAAACCAAATAAGGAAATAAATTCCCAAAGTTACTATTGTCATGGTAGTATAGATAATAGTAACTTACATGTCTTCTGTAGATAAGGTTGTTTTCCCTATTGCCAGAGCGTGATCTTTTCCTTCTGCCAATATTGCCTAAATCAAAATATTTTTATTAAATTTTAAGTTTGATATCTTGAAAAACCACTACATACCACAACTGTATCTTTTGGAACATCAGTCATTTTTGCCCCAGGCGAAGTTAAACCTGGGCACATTATATTTGCTCCACTAAGCACAAATCTGATGGCTCCTTTATCAACCTGTTGCATAGGCAGGAAAAATGGATCTACAAGTTTTGAGTTAATTTTTGATAACCTTTGGTTTATTTTATAATTGTAAAATTTAGATCAAAATTCTATATATTTTTTAATCTAAAAAAAGAACGAATTTCACTAGAACTGTTGCAAAAACGTAAAACCTTAATACATATTCCAATTAGTAATAAAAGAAAATGCAAGTCAATAAAAGTTAATTCCACAATTTTTAACTCACATTTGTGAAATAACCTGAGAGTAGGCATCCACTGTCCTTCACGATGTCGAAAAAATTGCTGCTCTCCCGCAGAATTTACTATAATTTCTAAATGATCGTGACTAAAATTAGTTGTGAATATTTAGTTAACAAGTTAAAAATTAATTTAATTGGCATACCATTTCACTATTCTTAGGGAATCTTTTTTTGGTATGATCACATCAATATAATTTTCCAAATATGGATATGATTCTAAAATTTTGCCTCTGATTGCTTTTTGAACAGACGATTTCAGTTGTAATATCCCTGAGATGCTTTCTTTTTCATCGAACCTACAAAAAAATCCATATTAAAAAAAAAACTGTAATTTTAAAATTATTGTGTATCTCTAAGACAACAATCCTTTTAGCAATATTTACTTTTTAAACATTTTTAGGCGAGAAATTAAAACTTATCTCACTAGATTCTCACGATCACAGAGTACTAACATTTTTTAGGTTAAGTTCAGTCAGCCAAGAAGAGAGAAATAGTTGAAAATGTCATAAGCCTTCAGCTTGGCGAGAGTTCTTTTCTTTTGAGGATTATAATAAGAATTTTACGCAACTTGCCTATGAGCAATAAAAAAATTCGGTTCTACGTTAATAGTCCAATTATAGTTATTATACTATTCTGGGAGTTGACATAACCTTGGTCCGTTGCCTATTGGATTATGTACCGTTAAGAAGATGTTAAGTGATTTAGAGGTTATGGAAATATATTGGTGCTTTTCATTAATTCTGTCCTAATAGTATTATACAGCTATTAAAACAATTCAGAATCAATGAACATTTGAGTTAAAATGACTTTGATAAGGAGGTACCATATCGTAAAGAAGTTTTTTTCATCTCAAACTGAAATTCCTCCAAACTTACCCGAAAAGTGCACCAAAAGAATACTGTCAGGAATACAACCAACTGGCGCATTACATTTGGGTAATTATGTGGGCGCAGTAGCACAGTGGCTAAAACTTCAAGATAAATATGAAATTATTTTGAGTATTGCAGACCTGCATTCAATGACATTACCATATGAGCCAAAACAATTATCTAAGAACATACTTGAACTCACCGCTACTTTGTTAGGCTGTGGGATAAATCCCAATAGAGTTATATTATTCCAACAGTCTTCTGTACCAGCACATACCGAATTGTACTGGTCTTTAGGGTGCATTTCAACAATGGCTCGTTTAGCCCATTTACCCCAGTTCAAGGAAAAGTCAGTTAACTTAAAAGAGATTCCTTTAGGATTGTTGGTTTATCCAGTACTACAAGCAGCTGATATTTTATGTTATAAAGCAACTGACATACCAGTAGGAGAGGACCAACTACAGCATATACAATTAACTCAGGATTTAGCAAGGATATTCAACAACAGATTTGGTGCCACTTTTCCAATACCACATTCATTAATTTTAGAAAATAAATTCATCAAGTTAAGAAGTTTACGGGATCCTAGCAAAAAAATGTCTAAATCTGATCCAGACCCCAAGAGCAGGATCTGTCTATTGGACACACCTGATCATGTTTTAAAGAAAATTAAAAGAGCACTTACTGATTTTACATCTGAAGTTACATATGACCCCAAAGATAGATTGGGAGTGTCAAATTTGATTGACATACACTCTTTTGTTAGTAAGAAGTCGGTGGAAGACATTTGTAGGGAAGCAGAAAATATTAATACAGGTCAATACAAAAATGTTGTTGCTCGAGCTGTGGTTGAATTTTTGGATCCAATTCAGAAATCCACAGCCAAATATCTGCAGAATGAAGACTACTTATTAAGTGTACTCGAAAGTGGAAGAAAGAAAGCTTCAGAACTAGCTGAACAAACACTTGATGAAGTCAGAATGAAATCGGGTTTAAAATTAAGTGTGCAGAAAGTTAATAAAATTAAAGCAAGTTTATAGCATATTGAACTATAATTAGAGTGTAAAGTTTTTATGTTTTTAGAATTGTTTTGTACAGATGTTTGAATTTTATTGTGCCATTTCACCACAAATTTAATTAATGTAAATGTGTAACCAAGGCAACAGTTTAATATTGGTGCAATGAGGTTGATTATTCCTTAACCAAACTCATCTTTACTTTCCTTTGAAATTCCTTGTGTATATCGAGGCTGTCAAAACTAACCAAATTCTATGTTCTATAGCGACAAGTGCATATGATTTTTTCAAATGTATTGAATTAAATTGATCTTTTCTATGATGACACACAGATTTCGTTTTGAAAAATTCAAATTAGGGTTTAACCTACATTCTTTTTTTATAATAAATTTGCTAATTTTTATTTGTTGCTTGTAACTAATAAGTTACAAAACAATTTTTCTTTTTAAAAAAGCAGTTAATATAGTGCACTTTTTTTAAAATTTTAGATGGCGCGTTAAAAAATACCTAATACCATAAACATCTATGTACCAGCTAAATTGGTCTGCCTCAATAGGTTGTGATATTGCTACTAAATTTCAGACAATAGCCTGCACTTTGCGCCTTTTCTTTTCTTTCGAAAAAGTGAAGTCCATTGGTTTTTCTAACTGACGAATTGATGAACTGTCAGCGGCCATGTTTGTTGTTGCATTTCAAATCTTAGTTTTCAAATTTCCAGGAAAGATCAATTTAATCCATATAGCTGCTAGAGATATAGTGACCCTGCTTATGTTGATAATACAGGAACTTATGAAGCAAGTATAAAAAAAAGTAGAGAAAATCCATTCAACATGCGGATGCGCGAGATTTAAAATTTCGTTTTTAACCAATGGCCTTGCGCATTCAACAGCCAACATGGCCACTGAGAGGTGGTCATTAAGTTTGGATGCGGTTTTTTTTCCTTCAGTATTTTCTCCAAATTTTCCTAGATCTCGTTAAACGTTCTAGGAAAATGCGCTGCATCAATTTTCACCGCAGTAGGGCCACTATACTATCTAATAGCTATATGAGTTTATCATTGAACTTGGCTTTTAAAGTAGACATTTCCGAAATGTGCATGTGGGTATACAATAGCGCGATCCACATAATTAATATTTTTTTATTTTAAAATCGGAAAATATGAAAAATTCCAAATAGATTTGAAAGGTTCTTGGATGCTCGCACAGAAAAGAATTATCTTTTCTCACTGTTTCTGATACCCCCTACGCTACATATAGCGTTCGGCTTCCAAAAAACTTTGTGTCGGTATCCTTGCCGCTAGCAAAATTTTGTATTCCTCGCATGCACGTCGACAATCCCGCCGATCCGTAAGGTGGTTTAACTGCTTCAAAACGCGGCCAATTCAGAAATGTCTGCACGACACGTTCTCTTACTACTTGATAATAACGCTCACAACCGTCAGACTTTACACCAAAGTTGATCTCTCTTAATGGCGCACGTTTTCTTCTCTGTCGTCTAATTAAAATCGCATCTCGGTTGGCCGTGACCGTGACAGTTTTTTCGTCCCTCGGTTTTCTTTCTCATGGTAAATTTATTTAGAGTGTGCTTTGTGATCGTGCTGGTTCCGGATTTGTGAGATTGGATACGCGTCTGGGATCGAAAACTTCAAACATTCATTTCGGCATATGGAACGGGGATGCATTTTATTTTTCGATTAGTAAAGTAGAAGAACCGAGCTATTAATTACGAACCGATATGAAGATGTGCCTCAAAACGTTTATTTACTCGGCAGCGGCGACAATGAAAATCTGGTAATGAGGTAGGTGACAACTTCCGTAAGCTATCCTAGCAATAAAAAGATAACGCTCACGCTGATGGCGCATACCGTCGCCTACTTTCCTAAAAAAAAACTTGTTTTGCGCCTTTGCTGCAATTCGCCGAGTATCGCTTATTATTATGCTTGTAAAAATGAAATAAGACTATTTGTTTTTTCTTCATCTTTAGAAAGCGACTCGAGTGGGTCGACTTTACTTTTGAATTAGGATCAGTTTGGTATATTTAAATATAAGCCTTTTAGTCAAACTCAGCAATAAGCACATTCAACGGAGTATTGTAGTTAAATTTCTAGGTGTTTATTTTGGTTCTCATCAAATATGGTCCAATGATATTTTAAGAACATTCTCTCTATTGCTACAGGATGTGGAGGTTAAACAAATTGGTTTTTATAGATATTTTACGTTTATTTTATGCATCTCATATTATCACGCGCTGGCGAAGTAGTTAAATTGCAAAAATGATTCATTGGAACAATATTTTCTAATCTCAATTTTTTTTGTCGTAAACAGTTTGATGATACGAGAATATTCACTCCTTCAAGTAATTTTATTTTTCACTGTATATTGAACTTATCAAAACTAATCCTAATTCAGATTCAGTCACTTCAAAATTGCAACTTATGCAAACAAATGAATTGTCCATTGCGACCAATAAATCTTAATATCTGGTGAAAAATGGTTTGGTATGTCATGTCCTTTTTTGATTCTGACAATAGATAATTATAAAATTTTATTTTATCCTATGTATGTATGCGTGTTTAATTTGCTTTGTTTGTGTTTAAATTTAAACGGAACTAAATAATTTTTGAATCTTTCAGTATTTGGTATGTTGAAGTGTTGTCTGCCTATCGATGTCACCGCGTTCTAAATCAATTAAAACCTCATGCACGTGATATCGACGCCATTATTACGCACATATTAATGTGTTGTGCCACATATAATATGCATTGTATTACATGGCAGCAACTTTAGGTCGAATATGCGCATCGAATATTTACGAGAAAACCACTGATTGTTGTTTATCATAAAAGTACCGGTTTAATTTTTAGAACGTCACGAAAATTTGAGAAATTTCTCCATCGAAAATGTCCAGTGTGTCCCATTTTTCATGGTTTTCGTGACCCAAGGCTGATTTTTCATTCAAGTATTATGGAGGCACAAACAGAAATGTCATGACTATCATGGCCTTTGTATTCGAAATAGCTCTAGTGTATTTCATATTTTTGAAAAGCTCATAACAAGCTTAATAAAGTTACATGGTAAGGCTAACAGAATTAAATAAAACACAAGTTTAGTTTTAATATCAAAATTTGTGTTTAACAAGAAAACTCTACTCTAGAAAACTACGCCAGTGGCTCTGCTTAAGCCTTTCCACATCAGTTTGTATGTTTTCTATGAGTAAAAACATAACCGAGCTCTAAGGGGCGTCTATAAATTCAACAGTTTCAAAATTTCCCCTGTATCCAAAAATCCAAGGTAGGTATGATGTGCACACGTTTAATTTAATAAAAAAGCAGCCTTGGACCACGAAAGCCACAACGCGCGAGCTTTATTAATAAAGGAGGTACGCTATATAAGCATAAACAATTCATTGTCCCGTATTCGAAATCTCGAGAACCACTAAAGATTCACTTTTCTAACTTGGGTATTATTCGATCACGTTTTGAGAATTTAAATGGGTCAACTTAATATGGCAAAACTGAAATATGTTTTCATGCACGCCAATAAATACAATACCAAAACATGCCAATATTGCCCAAGTTAAAAATGTGTTAATCGTTCACAAGAACCGGCAAGAATTGTGGAGATGTTTCGATAGTCTTCGACAAAGATGATAAATCTAGCGTGCGATGCGACATTACATTTTCCTCTCTACTTAGACAAACAACATCTATCCGTAAAGTGTTAATAAGTAGTAAATTTCGCCTCAATTTGTTACTGACCAGGTTTCGTTATTCGATTTTCTTTTCATTTTTTACTTTTCCTTTCGTTTCCTTATTGAATTTGAGTTTTTTATGTTTTTAGGTGTCAGATAGTCATGATATTGCGCAATTATATTTTAACTTTTGCCAACTCTTCTTCTATGGCTCATATTCTCCCAAAATATGACGATCATGAGAAATGTAATATAGAGGTGTACTGTCATTGCGCATTTAATGTTGCATTTTGACAAAACATTTCTAATAATTGATGTAATTTATTTTAAAAAATGTAACCAGACCAGTTTTCACCTTTTCGATAGTCTAACCGAACTGCAAAATGCTAAGGATTACAAATTCACTTTGTATCTAATAATACAAAACACCTATTATATTTCTCTTTGTACCGCCGTCATCTTTTAATAAAAAAGTAGCCTATATGTGATTCTCTCGCAAAAATTCGATTCGCATATTCGACCTAACGTTACTGCCAAGTAATACAAAGCATATTGTATGTGGCACAACCATATAGCTACTAGAGATATAGGGGCCCCGCTTATGCCGATGGTACAGGAAATTATGAAGCAAGTATGAAAAACATTTTAAGCATTTCGTTTTTCAAAGACTAACCAAGCCGCTGTTAGATCGTGAATAAGTGTTTTGCGAAAACGATTTAAGTTTGTGGAAACGCTCTTTAAAGAATATAGTGCAAAATGCACGTTAGTGGAAGATATGGAGATATCCATTTTTAGCCTTGTAGGGCCACTATATTATCTAATAGCTATATGGGCACAGCATATTAATATGTGCGTAATAGAGGCTTCCATAACAAGTAATCAACGTAAAGCGCAGTGACATCGATAGGCAGTTAGACGAGCAACACAACGAAATATTCTAAGATTCAAAAAACATTTGTTTTCGTTTAGACTTGGGTAGACAAGGATCGGATATTGTCAAAATTAAAACAAAACAAATTAAACATGTATACTTACATAGGATAAAACAAAAAATATATATTATTATTAAATATTATCACGGTCATAAAAAATTTGACGCACGACTATCTTTTACCAGATATTTAAATTTATTTGCTTATACGCCCAGCCACTCTTTCATTGAAATAGTAAAATGATCAAAAACTGGCAAATTGTGACTAGAAATTGTTTCATCCAAATTTATCTTAGTTTTATTGTCTTAAAATATATTTCGTCGAATGCACCCCTTACTTTGAACATTTTTTTTTCCATTCGTATTTTTTGTTTTATTGCAGGTAAATTATTTAGATACTGACCTAAAAGCTAAACGTAGTGAATAATTGACAGTAACAGCTGACAAAAACAAGTTTCTTAAGTATAAATTTAGACCTACTTGAACCTTGTTTCGTTTTTGTTTCCCTTTTCAGTTAAAATATCTTTTGTAATACGAATACTATTAATGCATTTTTATAAAAGTAACACCTGTGAAAAGACCTCCGTTATTGTTTTAAAAAAACAGAAGTTGTAAGCACGCAAATTTATTTTATATTAATACTAATACTTGGCTAGGGTTGGTGAGTGGTTTTCAGCGAATGCCTTAAAATTAAATGAAATTAAGACACACAATATTCTTTTTACTTCCGACAAATGAGATGAAAAGTCAGAGCCTGCAAGGCTTCGTGAGGTTATGTTAGGTTCTAATCTTAATTGGCTTCCTCATGTTGAATATCTCTGTTCCAGATTATCTACCCAGGTATTTGTGATAAGATAACTTAGAAAGTGTGTTCCTGATAATGTATTGAAAACTCTTTACTATGCTCTTGTGTATTGTGCACTTGTGGTATTTTGCTATGGGAAAAACTCGTCTCACTAGGACAAGTATTCATCCTGCAAAAAAAAGCAATAACACTGATTGGCAACGTTTCAATTCGTGAACATGCTAGGCCGATTTAAAAAAAATCGAATTCTTACTTTGTTTTATCTATACATAATACTGAAAATTATATTTGAAATCCATATACATTCAAAAGATTACGATTACGAAGTTTTTCTCTTATCATACTTTTCAACATTCAACGATCAGAATGACCCAGACAAATAAAATTAATTTGAGTCTTTTTAACCTACTCAAAAAAAAGTGCAAAGGACATAACATCACATATATGAATAAACATGCATTTAGGAAATTTTTAGAAAATATGCTTTATGAAGATTCATTTTACAATACGACAAAATTTATGTTAAATTAAGTTTGTACCTATGCATTCCTGCATATTTTCGTTTTAAGGTTGTTGCTATGTATATGAGTGTCAATAATCATCATCATAATCAATAATGAACTACAATTGCTTTCATAAATGCAAAGGGCTTTATTAAAAGTAATAAGTTTTAAGATCTTAGACAATATATTGCAGAAAAAATTACTAGGTAATATGATACAGGATATCTCTTTTTGTGAAGAAATGCGAGTTATATAAATAAAAATGTTGTTTTTAAATAAGGTTCTGTTCACCCATTAAACATCAATTTTTTAAAAATAGTGGTAAATATATAAAAAGTCGGGCGGGTTTCGTTTCGTATATCAACCCTCCTCACTGTTGAAATGTGTAGAAATACAAATAAAAAACTGAAGTTTTTTGTAATTCACCACCATATATAATCAAAATTATACGATTAATATATTACAATATTTCAATATTTACTTGCCAGTTTCTAAAAATTATAAAAGAAAAAACTGCAACGGTTAAATTTTGCCCAGAAAGGTTACCATGCAAAAAATTATTCCATTAAAATAACATTTACGATAGATCATTATGTATGAACTGCGCCAGACCATATGGATCACTGATGAGGGATTCTGCTCTAATTAAACCTGATCTAGTTAAATTCATTAATTCAATTAAAGGTCGAGAAGTGTAAAAAATCAAAATGTTGACTGAAATTGATTGAATAGAGGATTTTTCATTATATAGAGTTTTTGAAAAATCCTTATAGTGTTATATCTAAGTTACTAAATGTGAAACAAACAAGCAATAAAAAGATTAATACACATTTAAATATTTAAATTTGATGTTGTCCTAAGCAAAATAA